CACGGGTTTATAGTACGGTTGATGATATAAATCCTGTACCTGTATTACCCATAATAGGGAATATACCACAAATCCCATCGCCTTGGGTAATGCAGGATTTATACCATCAGCCGAAAGCCCTAAAACCCTATAGATCCTTTAAAATAACACCCGGAAAGGTACCCTGAATGATCCCTTAAAGGAACCCCAGGATTTATATGCGAGTTTCCGAAAATAGGGGACCCTAATATAGCACACTAAATAGTAGGATCCTTATAAGGACCCCCAAATAAGGTACCCTAATTTTCGGAAACTCTAAACCCTAAACCCTTTATAGAACCCTTATAGATCCCTTTAAGGAACCCCCTATAGATCCCTTTAAAGGAGCCCTAGGGTTTATATCGTCAACCGTATCTCTCCGTAGTAAAGGCTCCGGGCCCCTGGTTTCCGAGCCGAGCCGCAGAGCCATCCGAGATGGGAAGGATGGTCGGGGTCAGGTCCTGTAGGGTTTGGGCTTTAGGGTTCCTGTAAAGGGATCCTCTCAGGGTTCCTTAAAAAAGTCTGTAAGGGTTCTATAAAGAGTTTAGGGGTTTAGGGGTTTGGGGTTTCGGGTTTAGCGGTTTTGGGATTAGGGTTTAGGGGTTTAGGGGTTCAAGGTGTAGAGCTTGTCTGGGCCGGGTTTTCCGAATGTGGATGCAGCATTTCGGGGTTGCAGGTTCTTGATGTAAGTCTTGCAAGAAAGCTTTTCGGGCTGCAAGCCTCATCACGCTTCTTCCGCAGGGTTCTTTTTCGTAAACCCTTCCTCAACCCTGAATAACCTACCTTGTTAAGGACTTGTACAAGGAAATCAGGAACCCTAAAAAGGCAGGTTTCTTGGGGTCCAGGTCAACCCTGAACTATGATTTTCCAGGCCCCAGATGTGCGGAGTTTGCGTCTTGAACACTGAGGGCACGTGGAGTGCAGAGGGAAAGATCTCCGGGCCCTGTTTAGGTATTCAGGCGTTCAGGGGTTTAGGGATGTAGAGGTTTCGGGAATTAGGGTTTAGGGCTGAACCCCAGGACTCGGAGTAAGACTCTGGAGTGACGAAGTCTCGGGCTCGTATGCTTGGGGTCCTTGCTCTGTGATTCGGGTCGGCTTTAGGGGTTTAGGGTTTAGGGGGCTTCGGCGCTCACATTCGGTTTAGGGTTTACAGGGTTTTTGGGCTACTACGGGCTCCGCCGCACATCCAGCGAAAAGGCACGTACAAATGCCGTAAGGTCTTGGTGGTATTGCCACACACACACACACACGCACGACTTGAACAAGCTTCAGATGAGGGCCCTTCGAGCGAAAGAGGAACATGACAAACGACCAGTGTGCTGTCAGCGAAACCGTGACTTCTACGGAGCACAAAACCAAGACACACTTCTTGAAGCTCTTTCCCGCATAACCATACTCTACGGCCTCAACCTTCGATCTGAAATAACTGTGGCCCTAAGCCCCCAAACCCTAAACTTAAGGGAACCGTTCAGGTAAATACCGGAACGAGGCCCACCTTCACGCAGCTCAATGTCAGCTCCTTGGCTCTTGACACTTGTGGTCTGTTTCCGGGTGGTTTGGGTTTAGGGTTCTTGGTATGATTAACGGGTTTTGTCGCACCCGCCCAGCTGGCAAAATTAGACGGTTTCGGCGCTCACACTCGGAAGGCGAGGTTCTTGGTTCGTGGTCGATTGAAGTAAAACTCTCCCAAAGACGTCCAACATGTCTGAAAGGCAAACACCAACAACAAAAGGTTGTAACAAGGTCAAGGGTTCCGGGTTTCGGGATCTGGTTGAAGCTCAAGAAATCCGAACTTCGAGACAAGAACCGCACAGGCGTTTAAATCCTAGCCCGCGAAACCTGACATCCTGATTCCTTGCACTTCAATCACTCAAGGGCCACGACTTCGACGACGACTGCTAGAACTACTGCCGACATCCTTAGTCTCGTTGTGACTGACCTATGATTTGAATGGTGACATTATGACAAATTTGATTTCGGTTGCAGTTTCAAGACTGGCAGTATTAGTAAACGAGATTTCCTAGCACAGAACATCAAACGAACAGATACACGAACGGGTGTGCTGGCTTGACTTAGCAAATCTTCCTGCCTCAGTCTTGACTACTACAGCAGGTTCATAGCAGTGGCCGGGGATGCTGTTATGACCAGTTGAAAACGCGGAGGCCGTTGTTGACCCAAACCCTTGACATATGCTCTTTATCACAACTTGCTTGCATACCTGAGCATGTGCAGACAGGTGTGCCAAAGATGGGTCGATTGACAAATGGACGGACTCATGAAGACGTAACAATTTCGCAACCGATCAGGACGCACTCGAACGGCGTGCGCTGACACAAGACGTTGCTGGCTTTGTTCATGCCAAGCTTCATCAATGTGAATCCTGGACATAAGCCTCTCGAGCACCACTTTCCCTTCGCCTTCTCCTGTGAGCAAGGGGGATTGAGCGGCCACGTTCAACAACTCCGACCAAAGCAGCGCGATAGCGGTTGTCCTACCGCAGAAACGTACATCTGATGTTCATAAGACTGCACAGTGCGAGAGACGCTTTCCTATACAATTATACAGCAGCAGAGTTTGCAAATGGATTTGCCAACACCCGCGCATGTGATCGCGGCCGTGGAGAACACAGTACAACACACAGGCATCGGGTGACTTCTTGGCGAAGTTTCGGCTGGACTTGGCATCGTCGCCTGCTTCTCTCACAATATGTAGAGGCCTTATATATCAGCTAGAATAATTAGGGTGGGGGGGTATATTATACTGTGATTGCACTAAGGAACCCCCAAAACCTTGTTCTAAGGCCCCTACAGTAGACTGTGTCTTGTTCATCCCCTGCCTTTACTAGAATCTCTCTGAACGGCCGACCTACCCTGTCTGTCCCATCCTGCAACCGTCTGAGCTTGAGCTGTAAACAAGTTTAACTTCGAGTTGTACCCTGAGACTTTAGAGCCTGGTTGCCGGGTTCAGGGGTATGTAGGCGTATCTGACAGGCCATGCTGACGATGTTAGCTGGTGAGGTTGGGTTCGTGAGGCCGTGGTAGAGCTGATGCTAATGATGCTGGCTGTGGGGCCGGTTCGCAAGTCAAGAGGTGGAGGAACTGATGCTGATGAGGCTGGCTGCTGAGCGTTGGCTCGCATAGAGCCTGGGTGGGCGAGCTGATGCTGGTGATGCTGCGTGGGGGCGGTTTGTAAGTAAAGAGGCGGAGAAACTGATGCTGATGATGCTGGCTGAAGAGGGTTGGCTCGCATAGGGCCTGCGTGGGCGAGCTGATGCTGGTGATGCTGGCTGCCTAAGGGGGCGGCTCGTAAGAAAAGAGGTGGAGGAACTGACGCTGATGATGCTGGCTGCTGAGACTTGGCTCGCATAGGGTGGGGAGCTGATGCTGATGATGTAGGCTGCCTCGGGCTGGGGATCTTTCCGGCGTGGGGAGCTGATGCTGATGATTCTGGCTGACTCTGGCTGCTGCAGGCAGGCTTGTTGGAGCTGATGTTGCGTTGTGCTGGCTCCCCAAAAGTGGCTGGGACGCTCACTACAGCGTAGTCTGCCCAATTCAAACAGTCACCCACAAATCCCAACCACTGCCCGCAGCGGCCTCGGAAACGATCCACCTCCTCTTCGTGCCTCAGTTCACGATTTGTAGCTTACGTACTTTCCTCCGGTTTTAAGTTATCCGTTCGGGTTTTCGGTGAAGGACGGTCTCGCTTGACGTACAGTGATGTGATGCCTGCATCGGCAATCGCCCGCAGCCTCACAACCAGTGTGCACGGTTTTGAATGACTGCCGGTGCTTGCAGCTTCTCGTTCGGCGACAAGCTACTCTGAAGGCCAGGGTTTAGCATTCAGGGTTTAAGGAAACAACATGGATGATTGTCAAAATGATGGTCCCTTTTGGGGGTCCTTAATATAGTACGGCACCTAATATTTAGGGACGACCCGAGGGATCGGGGGACCCAATGAGGCCACAGGACCAAATTAAAGGAGCAGCTGACAGGTGGGTTGGTTAGGGTTTGGGCTTAGACCCATTTTTTGCATCAGGACTTGTGCAATCGCCTGAATGTTTGAGCAACACTAAACCCTAAACCCTGAGGTGGCTTACGTTCACTGCTCGTTTGTGTGTGTCATCCCTGCGCAGGTTTCATGCTCATCTGCGCTCTGTCGTTCCAACAGATCCTATCGGATGATGAAGGTGGTTTAAAAGCGTGAGTACTAGGGCTTAATGAGGCAGCAGCCCGAAAGGCCATTAGGGTTTAAGGTGCTGACTATACTTTTAGCCTAGGATCTTAAGGTTTCAGGGTTGCGTTGCCTCAAGACTGTCATGCAACCTAAAACATGCTTTTCAGAGCTTACCACCCTGCTGGATTGGTCTGGTCGTTTTATTGTCTGGACTACGTCCGCTCACACCTCCCTGTAGACAAGTTAAGTCCATGCATGCATGAATACATAGAGGCATACACACGCACGTGCATACCAATGTGTAAGATTCAGGGTTTCCACTCGGAGTTGTATCAGCGTCGCCAGTTTCGCTCTTACTGATTCTCTGAAGTTGACGTCGGCGTACTACCACACCCATGGTTCTTGGAAGTCTTGCCGTCGTTCCTGCATGGTTGCTGTCGCAAGAAACAGCTTCTTACTTGCTATTGCTGCTGGCGCCAACTCGTCCGTATGAATCTTCGTTCATGATTCATATGCCATGTGTGGACCGAGACTCTGTTCCAAACCTGAATGCCTAAGGTAGACCCTGATTAATCACCGCCCCCTTTGTTGAAAAATGGTGACGGTAGTAAGGATCCGAATCTTCAGCGTCGAAGTGTAGCCAGAAACCCCAACCGCTATTGTCTGACAGACAGGGGGGCCAGTCACGGCTATACTGAACTTAGACCCCTAACTAGCAGCAACTACAATTTGCGTCAAATTTACGTGTGTCTTAGGGATTGTATGCACCAAAAGTTATTTCCGAGTACCCCTAAGACGAGACGAGGCACAGCCAGCCACAAATCAGCACTCTCTGACTGTCGCCATCGGGCAAGCCGACGATCTCCTTGGTTGGTTTCGGCGCTCACACTCGGACAAACCAGGCGAGGCATGTGGGTTCGGAGTCATACTAAGTGAGACTTCACTAAGAGGAGGTGTCATTGCACCTCGTAAAAGGGTTTAGGGTTATAGAACCCCAGACCCCCGGGAGGATCTAGAAAGTAGATCCCCTAATTCGGGGCCCTATACTACAAGGGTAGTTTACAGGAACCCCCATTAAGGGATGTGCTTTTATAACAAAATTTAATCGTCTTAGAAGCTAGAGTAGGAATTTGAGGGTAGCTTGTACTATCTCATAATTATGAAGGAGCCCAAGGAACGGTGTTTCTAATACTCCAGGCTTCGTTTTATCGCATTTCAGCAGGACGCAAAGCAGGGACGAGAAAAGTTTAGTCTTGATGCTTACTACTTGATGCTTACGAAGCGTGACGACGGGCACGAACTCTCACCATCCCAGCTTGTCCAAAGTGACATAAAATCCTGTTCTATACGACCAATCCTGCTCTATACTAGGGCCGACGGCCGTCGTGAGCATACCCACTGCACGACCACCACGTGATTCCCATGGCCCGAACCCGCTGCCCACATGGTGCCACACTCATAGTAGGATCCTTAATAATAAAAGGACCCCCAAATGAGGTACCCCTAATTTTCGGAAACTCCAAACCCCTATAGAGCCCTAAAACGGAACCCTTATAGTAACCCTTTAAAGAACTCTAAACCCTTGTAGGGCCCTTTAAACCTGCCGGGCGGCATGGGTGTCTGCGATGCATGCATTAGGCGACTCGCCGTCTAGGCCGCCGTTGGACCGGGACCTTCTCGCCCCTATCCTGCAGCTGTCTGGTTCCGCTAAAGGGGTCTGTAAGGGTTCCTTTACAGGTTCTAGCAGGGATCTATGTAGGGATTCCTTTAAAGGGGTCTACAAGGGTTCTTTTAAGGGTCTATAAGGGATCTATCATATAGGGGCTCTTAGTAGGCATTGGGGCTGTAGGGTTCGGCTCGAGGGGTTGCGGGTTTCGGGTGCGGGGCTCTATCATCCAAAACTCGGCTTGGGTTCAATGGGCCCCTAAACCCTAATCCCCAAGACCTACCTTAACCTACCAAACCCTGCATTTTGGTAGGTTCAGAAAAAACCCTAATATGGAATTCATAGGGACCCTACAAAACAGTTGGTTTTGGTAGGCTAAGGCTCTTTCGTCGGCGGCCTTTGGGACCGGGAATTCTCAGGGCTGAGCATTTCAAGATTCTGAAGTTCTAGAGTTTACGTAGGGTTTAGGGGTCCATTAAGGGTCATGGAGTTCCGTGTCTTGGGGTTTCAGGCTGGGAGCTTGGCTAAGACAAGCTCCAAGCCCACACCCGGGGCACGTTTGTCGGGAACCTCATCCCTGACCCAGAGAGCCCAATACCCTCTTAATTAAGGGATATAGCTTAAATCATAATATGAAGCCCTATATAGTTTAAGCCATATTCCCTAGTTACGGGGTATTAGGCTCTCTGGGTACATCTTCTAACTCCCCTTGCGTGGCATCTTCCCAGTCATCGGGCTCTGGACTTTGAATTCACAGAACTGCAGCGGTTCTTTAGGGCTTGTTCTTTTACTTAGTTGCTGAGTTCATAAGCCCCATAAAGTGTACACTTTTGGTTTTATAGCGGGTGATATTATCCCCAAAAGTGCAAAGTGTATCCACTCAGCTACTAAGTTTACAGTGCAGTGGGACTTTCTCGCGCATACCCTGCCCAGTTTACAGTCACAGAAGGCCAGAACCCTAAACCCCAACCCTAAACCCCTCACTCGAAAGGACGGACCAGGCGAGGCATGCGGCTGCTGCTTAGGGTTGAGACTGAGGTTTAAGGGTTTCGGGTCGCCATCTTCGAGCACATGAGAGGGTACATGTCTTTAACTTGTGGCATCGGCTTATGCATTGTCGAAGGCCCGGTATACTGTGGTTGTCTGCGTGGCATGGTTTGTGTTACATAGTTACACTGCTTTACCATATGTTGTAGAATCTTGCTTACGTGGCCCTCTAGCCCAGTGAATCGTCATATCTTCGTCAATCGTTATGGGCATGATGAAGCTTGTGCAAGCCAACGTGCCAGGAGTGTATTAGGGGGACACTTGGGGATATCGACCCTGTCAAAAAGGCCCCTTTTAACAGAGGATGTCTACAGTATCATCTCACAGAGCCCGTTCTAACCCCCCAAGACCCAAACCCACCCCAAATCCAAAAATCTAAACCCCTACTTGTCGAGTATCCTCGGGAACCTAAAGGTGGGGTTGTATAGGTCTTATAGTACCCCTAAAGGGTTCAAGGTTACCTTCTCTACTACTAAGAACCCCTGCGTGTCCTTGCTCCCCCGGCCATGCTCATCAGCCCACGGAAAGACGTTCGCTTCGTGACGTTCGGCGCATGCTTCTGTGCGGAGTCGGTCTCCAGTCCTGGGCAACACGGTTTAGTGTTTAGGGCTTCAGGGTTTAGCGTTTATAGTTTTAGGGTTTAGGGTAAGCGGTGGTGTCATATACGCTGATGATCTCCAACAACCATACTTTGCGGCAAACGCAGTGGAAAACTCAGAACTTTACATAGCTGGAACAAAATGAAGCTAAGTGGAGGAGCAACAGGGTGCAATACAGTGGAGGACGCGTTTACATGCGACCGGCTGTGCACGAGACTGGCCCTACAAGCGGAAACTTTGAGCCACTCTTGCCGTAAACCCTAAACCATTAAACCCTGCCAAGGCTGGATATGAAAGGCGGCCGTGTCCGAACTGATGAGGTCTACACGGCACCGGGAAAGCGAAGCCAAGCCATTGTCTATATACGGTTTAGAGTTGAAGGATATATGTGTCAGCAAGCAACTCAGACAGTGTCTCGGAGGAGAGTGTTTGACGTGTTTCGCTGCTCGTGAACATGGGCTTAGTGACTCAGTATGCGACCTCTGAAACAGAGGCAAGCAAACACAAACAAACAACAATACACAGAAAAGCCCCTGCTTTGGGACGAAATCTTCTCCACTCAGTCAACTCGAGCTCCACCAGAATAATACCCAAAACTTAAAACCCATCTCAAACCCAAACCGTACACCCCTCCAGCCAAAGCCAAGCTTCGCTGCAGTAGGGGCAAGTCCATGTCATTTCGGACCTACGGCATAATGTCGGGGTCTTAACAATTCGAAAGGGGTTCTGGGGCAATTTATTGCGCTTCCTTTATGTTAGGAACAAGGGGAAAGCTCGCACTAGAAATTCCAACTCCTATATTCGTCTGCGCCATTCTGGGGGCGTTCCGGTGCTCCTGGCTTCAGTGCTCGATTCTTACGGCTCAGGATTCAGGGATTCAGGGTTTTAGGTTTTTCATGATTTAGGGTTTGGGGTTTTAGGAGGGTTTAGGGTTACCTCAGGCCAGGGTTTAGGGCATATAGGGTACAACATGAGCTGCAAGTAACTGCCTGTGCTACACTTGCCACAGCTGCTGGCATCGAAGAACTGAACAACATTTTCGAAACCATATGCCTTCTCCTTTCCCTGCATGCCACTACTGCACCTGCCCTTCTGTTTGCCAATATCCTTAGATTATCGAGTTTGATCTGTGATATCGAAAGTGCCGTGGTGCTATCTATGTGCTATGCACAACGAGCAGTTAATGCCCCAACAAGCCCTACATGCTGGTGCCCGTTCGTTATCTTCGTCTCCGGCACTACATGACCACGACTCATGCACCCTCGCAGGTGACATTCAGTGACATCGGTATTTGTTGCAACTTTACATCTGTTCGGGCATTCTCTTCAACCTTTATTTTCCTTATTCGCTGCTCGCATTCCACTTCTGTGCTCTCGACGTTGCGCGCTGCCGCTAACAGAATGATGGTTGATGGTGCGCAACCCAGAGAGCCCGTTACCCCTTAATCAAGGAATATAGCTTAAATCATAATGTGAAGCCGTACATTGTTGTTGCCATAGTCCTTAATTTCGGGATATTGGGCTCCCTGGGAACGACCAGGAACAAGCCCAAAACATGAAACGAACATTCCGAAAGCCCTGGAATAGAAATACCTTCAACCGCCTGCCAGCACCACTAAACACCTTCGACTCAACATGCCCCTGTAACTCTAAACTCCTGATGCCTAGCCCCCAACGAGCACCCTCCACACTTTGCGCCGTAAGCCAAGAGCAAAGATCACCCGGAGCCGCCCTACTTGGAGAATCAGGGGACTTAGTTAGTAGGGTTGCTTTAACGGTTCCCATAAAAAGTATAAATATGGTAACTCCACTCAGAATTAACCCCAATTAAGGTACGAATAACCATAGCTACGAACTCCGGTGATCCTCCAACTTACCTTTGGTTAGTAGGGGATGGAAGAATGGTAGTAATAGTAGTTATAATTGTACCCCATTTCTCCATTCGCTACTAACCAAACGTATGCCAAGTACACCGGAAACCCAACGCCTGAACACTGAAAAAACCCTAAAACAACCCGAAACCCAGACCCTCAAAGCCCTGAGCCCAAAGCCATAAAACCTGAACAGAAAACATTCCTACCCCCAAACCCTCAGTCCCAAAACCCTAAACTCAAAAGCTTAAGCCTGAATGCTCAGCTTAATCCGTATGCCCTTCTATACCCTGCACACTACCGCGAGGCCTCGAGCTGGAAGATGGTCCGCAAATACCTCAGAAGGTATAGGGTTTAGGATTTCACGGGCGTTGATTCTCACACGGCTTCCAGGTTCGACAGGCTCCTCCGTGATTCAGTCAGTTAGTTCAGAAGGTTAGGGTTACTGCCACGAGTGGCAACACTGACAGCTACCGGACCTGAACAATGAGACAGAACCGACATTTCAACAGGGCCCCTAAAAACCTCTTGGGGGCACCTGTGGGTTTCAGGGTTCGAGTTTGGGTGAAGCTTGATTGCTGCTGCTATAACTGCTGTTGTTACTAGTGATGCTGCTCTCACTGTTGGTACTAACTACTACTACTACTACTGCTGCTGCTACTACTACTACTACTACTACTACTACTCCTGCTGCTGCTGCTACTACTACTACTACTACTACTACTACTACTACGATGACTCGTTCTATTGATAGTTTAGGGAAGAAAGTCGAGCGTTCAGCGGAGGTGCTTTGTGCGCATGTTGTACTTTTCGGAGCGGGACCACTCCACCTCGTGAAGTACTGGCAGCTGCGACAGATCCTGGGCGGAGAGGGTAGGTAAGTCGTGTTGTTAAGCGAACAAGGAGCAGGTCCCGGAGAGTGAAGAGCATCAGCAGGTACGGGGCTTCGGCGTATGGGTTTCAACCGCCTTCAACCCAAAAACACAGGGCCAGCCCTCCATCCTACTTATCCCTAAATACACCGCAAAAGGGCTGAAGCTCTCGGGGGTCCGGGTTAGTCATAATGTTACTTCATAGTCATAGATGATATAGCGACATGAGTAATTCGTAGCACTATTCCTCAGGGTTACCTGTTATAACTATACCTAACGGCATTCCGCGGAAAACGAGCAGTCAAAAACTGTTGAGGTCCCTGTAGTACGTGACAGGATTCATTGCTTCTTGACTCGGATTCACTGAAACTTACCGCATTCGCCCGCCTTCGGTTTAGGGTTTAGGGGTCTAGGACTTGGGTTCAAATTTCTCACCGACGTTTGGAACAGCTTCGCTAAGTCAGACTAATGACTCCGGGTTGCATCTCCCCACTTTCCGTCTGTCCCATCCGTTGTCACGTCGGTGGTGAGCCCCTCAACCCTGAACCCCGCGACTCCAATATCCCTTAACAAGGAATATACCTTAAATCATAATAGGATCTCTAATATGATTTAAGGGAAGTTCCTTAATTAAGGGATGTTGAAACTATAGTAGGATCCTAATATGATTCAAGGAGATATTCCTTAATTAAGGGATATGGGAGTCTCCGGGAACGGGAAGAGCCCAAAAGCAAGGGGCCGGGGCCCAACCTGCCTCTCCTGGCTCGGTGTTGAACTTCCGTAGAGCCACGGTTTAGAGTTTCGGGTTTCGGGTTTTAGGATTTAGGGTTTAGGCCCCAATAAGAAGAACAGGGAATCAGACACTTACATACATGACAACAAGGGGGTATCTATTACTGTCAATTATTCAGACCCTCCGAGCGAGGGTACTCGCTGCGCTGTCTTTTTGGGTTCAGGGATTGTCTGCTCTCCTTGCTACTTGCTCCCCACATGACTCGAAACACCTATACGACATCCCAGAAAAAGAACACTATGCTAATAATCCTAAACCTCTGTAACCCTAAATCCTATAACCCTAAACCCTATAATCCTAAAGCTATCGCTCGGTGCAGCAAGCTGTGGCCCGGACCACCAAGCCCTTAAAGGGCAGCAGGTCTGTTTCCTGGGCTCGATCGGCGCTGGGTTTTTTCATGATGGGGTCCGGGATTTCAGATTTGGACTTGGCAATCTCAGACTTGTGCTGTTTAATGTAGGGCCTTTTTACATGTCTGTGCCAGGTTTCATCTGGGATTGCGAAGAAGTATAAGAAGGGGTCCGGGGTTTCAGGGTTTCCGGGTTTAGGGCTTCAGGATTAGAGCTCACAGGCTTAAAGGCCTTTACTCAGAAGCCACAGTATCTGGAACAGGGTTGCGGCGTTCGGGAGGTACTGTGTAATTCGACTTGGGGGTATGACACAAGCTTAGATCTCCCTCTCTCTCTCTCTCTCGCACGCGCTCTCGAGGTTATAGGGTTACGGATTGTGGAGCCCCATGTGCCAATCATCTTCCGAGTGTACTTTCAGGAACTGCCCCCGTCACTACGGTTTAGGGTTTAGGATTTCGTGACGAGGGTTGCTATAATTGTGTGAAGGAAAGAGTCCATTACCACACCGGTTCACTGATACCGCACTACCTGCCCAAACCTCCTAAACCCAAACCTAAATCCCACACCGACGAATAGACATTTGTATGCCTACCAGTTTATGTTTTCAGCTGCATGGACTTGCTTATTCATACGGGAGTTTCCGAAAATAGGGGACCCTAATCCAGAGCCCTAAATAGTAGCATCCTCATTTTCAGGACCCCAAAATAAGGTACCCCCAAATTTCGGAAACTCCCATACCTGGTCCTTGAAAGACAGAGGCCTCCATCTCGCCCTTGCCACCCGAGGTTCGAAGTTCCTCCGCCCTACTCGGGTGGTTGTCAAAATTAGGGGGTCCCTTTTGGGGGGTCCTTATTATAATACGGCACCTAATACATAGGGTACCCAAAAAGGGGCCCTAATCTTGACAACCACCCACTCAGAGGTTTAGGGCACTTTTTAACTAGGGCTATCAGTGCCGAGTAAGGTTATAAGTAGATGTAACTGAGACTAGAGTCACCTTACCTGGAACCCTTCTTACTAAGTCCACTCAGCCTTTAAGTAACCCCCAGACCCTGAAAATGAACCCATAAAACCATACTTACTAAGTCCCCTGAGCATCCAATTACGACCTAAACTGCCGAGTCTCCAGGACGCGGCTCATGGCCTCCTGTGCCTGTGACGGGGTTCTTGATGAGGGCTCAGGAGGTTTTTCTTAGCAAGGACGAGGTCCAGAGGGTTCCGGTTCAGGGTTTCGGCGCTCGCACTCGGACAATCCAGGCGAGGCATGTGGTTCGGAGTCTTGATGAGTGAGACTGAACTAAGGGGGAAAGGTCAAAGTTCAACCAACAACAAGGGTTTAGGATTTAAAGGTTTTTGACGCTCACACTCGCACAAAGCAGGCAAGGCTCCACATAGCCCACAGGATCTCCACTAGCACATCAGCGATTTCACTTACAGACACGGCGGTACCAACTTTAATAGACATACACAGCTAACTCAGGCAATTGGCGTGTCTGTAGGTTTAGAGGTTCGCATACAAGAGTTGGGAGGGTGCTCCAAGGAGCTGTGAGGCTTGAATAGAGAGTTGACTTGAGACTCTCAAAGGCTTCAATAAGGGATGTACGAGGCTTCACCCAGGCGTTCATAAAGGGGTTTGTGAGCAGTCTACACAGGCCCAATAAGGGATTCATACGTAAAGGCTCTTTCAAGGTCTGGGGCTTCGGGGATTCGTGGGGTGCAAGGTCCACGGTCCAGTAAGGTCCCAATAAGTCGAAGTGCATTTTCATTTTCGGGGGGGGGGGGGGGGACACCACAAGCACATGCTTGTGCATGTACATGTGTATGAATACATCTTACAGACAAGCATGTACACAAGTATATGTGGAGATTGTAATATAGGTCCCACCAGGCCGGCCGAAACCCGCAAAGGGACAAGGGGTAGGCACATGAATTTGCTGTCGCATCGAAGCCCTCATCCCGTTTAACGTTCCCGACCTCCTAAAACCGCCTGCAACTGTTTCGACATCCGAATATGTCCCCATACTCAACCTTCGTAGTCAACCGAACCCTAGATCCTTTTGTGAGCAGGGGCTGCAATGCACGTGCCCTGGGGTTGCACCCTGAGGAATCATATGGGTATGTATTGATCATAGTAACCCTGGCTTATAGTAAAAAACCCTTCTCCTCGCGGCTCATATTGGGGCTCTAAACCCTACTGCCTGCCCTAAGTCAAGCCCCTATATTACGCATTCTTGGGGTATCTAATCGTACAGTTATGGAAAGGAAGCCTGGGAAATCCTACTCTTAGTACACCCTCTAATATAAGGGCCTTAACAATTAGAATGGGGCTTGGGGGCCTACTAAATATACTGTATTTATCATAAGGAGAAACCTCCCAAAACCCTACTCAAACTATTCAGAACCCTATATTACACTTTCCTTGCTTGCGAGCGTCGGTCTCTCCGAGCTCCTGCTTGGTACCAGGAAGCTTACAGCTGACCCGGAGACCGACTTCGGGATCCTGGGATGCAGCTGTTTGGGTTTAGGGTTTAGGTTTAGGGACGTTTTCAGGTTTAGGGTTAACTTCCCACCACACCGCCTAACTATCATCGGATTTGGGTTTATGCCTTCGGATGTATATTTTTCGCTTTCGGCGCTCACACTCGGACAATCCAGGCGAGGCATATGGTTCGGAGTCTGATATTGTCATGTGAAACAACGCTAATGGGAGAGATCATGACGCAAAGCAACAGTTAGGATATTCAACACATAAAGTGACTGTACTCTCTTGGACCTTGTCCCATCCGGGATCCTACTTATTTATCGTTTTAGGGGTTCGGGATGTAAGGTTTTATGAAGGTTTTAGTAAAGGATTTGTGTTTAGAACGTGGGGTTTAGCTTGGACGAGTTTGGGATTAAGGGTTTCAGGGTAAGTGCAGTTTAGGGCTTAGGTGAAACTAGGGTTGGATTGGAGATATGTAGCCATGGTCCATAACGGGGTTTATGTAAGGGCAATAAGCGGCTGCAAGGGTGTATAGCTCGGGGCTGAGGGGTTGTGTAGGGGTTTATGGTTTGGGCTCAAACGTGTGGGGCGGGATTTAGAATTTTCAGGTTGGGACTAACGTGCAGATATGGCACTGAGGAGTTAGGACATTCTCGCCTTGGGTCAACTGGGCTTTCATACCTAAAATTCGCCATGTGGGGTCCACAGCCAAAGTTGCCAATGAGTGAAATCTGACGGCTCTTGTCATGGTCAAGGGCAAACTGGAACAAGAGGGGCGTGCCAGCTTCCCAGAGAGCCCAATACCCCTTAATTAAGGAATATGGCCTAAATTATATAGGGCTTCACATTATGATATAGGCCATATTCCTTAATTAAGGGGTATTGGGCTCTCTGGGTTCTTCTATGCATGTCGCGCGTTCTTTCGGCGCAGCTGTGGAACCTTCCCCGCGCTTCGAAAGAATAGCCGTCTCGTGCTCGCTGAGCCCAGGCCCGTAATGTGAAGGGCTCTTGCTACCCGCACATGGCATGGCTCTTCTGCAAAACTTGCGAATGCTGGGACAATCCCGAGGCAATGCACAACGGTTCGCTCCCAAGGCGAAACTTCCTGATTCCGACATGCTTTCAAAATGGGTGGTACAGCACGGAAGCTACATGAGCTGTATCTGCGAACAACTTCGAAACAAACCTGCGCCCGAAAAAGTCCCGGACTCTACGGCAACGAAAACCCACAGCCCTTCCCGTTCATCTTGAATGACCTCCTTTTGAACCCTGAACTCGAAAGCAACATGAACCATCGGCTTAGTTCTTTTCCACCCCCCTCAGGAAGCATACTCCGGTTCCAAACCCCCAACCACTAACGGGAATTTAATCCTGTACAAAACCCTTATTAAGCCCTTGCTAATCTAAATCCTCAAGCCACCCTAAACCCGACACCCAGAAACAACCCTAATCTACGGGCCTCAACAATTGCCTATACTGTTTTGGGAGTCCTTCTCGTAATTATAGTAGATTGGGCCCCAAACCCCTGTTCTAATTATCGGCCCCGATATTAAACCCCACATCCCCCAAACCTCACAAGAACCCCAGACCCCAAGGCTGAACCAGAGCCCCCACCCGCCCCCCCGAGGCCCTGCCCCTGTGCAAAGCGAGGCTCCCAGGTGCCAAGTTGCAGCAGGCTGGTGCCGTCGCGTCCTTTGGGGGTCTACTTGGAGGATCACGGGACTTAGGAAGTAGGGCTATAATCGAGGTACCTATAGTTATATCTACTGAGTTACTGGATATAACCCTAATTCAGGTACTTATCGTCATATCTACTTATAGTAGGGGTGTCGGCGCTCGGCTTTTGTCAACGAATGGTTCAAGTTGCAGTTAAGGGTGCAGGGTGTTGGGTTTCGGGACATGCTGGGTGAAATATGTGGTTCGGACTCTGTTATACTCGGCCAAATTTCATGTAACAACCCTCTATGGCCGCCCTAAATCCTAAAGCCCAAACCCTCAACGCTGTTCTACTCATTCTATAAGGGCCGCACATTGCAGTTTGCGGATCTTTCGGGTTGAAATGCAAAGGGCTTGTAGGGTGTATGGGGTTTAAGGACATTTCAACCGAAGAGTTCGGAATGGTTGAGGCTCGAAGGTCTTTGGAGTTCAAGGTACAAAAGGCTTGTTTTTAAGGGCCCCTATAGCATAGAACCCTTATAGAAAGCCCGCAGAACAACCCTTATAGAAGCCTCTGCATGAAACCTACTTGGAGGATCGTAGGACCTGGCAGTATGGTTTTAAGTATAGTTAAACCCTAAACCCCTAAACCCTAAACCGAGATGTAACTAGAGCTACCTCGAAGTAGGCCTTTTCAAGTTGAGGGTTGAGGCGTGTCTTTGCAGCTCAGGGTTTCACGGTGACAGGGGCTTGGGGCATGTGGCTGAAGGTGACCAATGTCGGGGCCTTCATACTCGGGTTTTGGTAGTAAGTTTAAAACTTTACTATAGTTGAATACATATATATGTACATATAATCTACTAGGGGATGTTCTTAACATCTATTCCAAGCCCTTGATGGATGAGGGTGTTTTAGATTTTGGTAGGGCCCAGCTCTTCAGGAGCTAACGGTGGACGCAAAGAAAACAATTTTCTCGGTCTCAGTGAGGCTTGCGATTTGCATACTGTGATGGGAGGCCAAAAGCAGGGTTTAAGATTCCTGGGGCAGGGATTCCTTAATATGAACCCTATTATAGGAACCACAATCCCCACAAAACCCCCATAGGCTAAAACCCCTTTTGGCCGCCTATGATACTGGTTCCGGATGTTCATCTGTTCATCATTAGCACCGTAAGATACTTATGCTGGAAAGGGTCTTAGTAGCACTACCGAGCACATGGCTTTCCAAGATCACCACAAGAAATACGGCGCATCGTGGTATGGTCACAAAGGAATGTCCAGGTTTATGGTGCTGATGTTTAAGGACAATCTTCGGTGGTTTAGAGGTTTCTTTTAAGTTTCACCACTGGCCACATCGCCGACGCACTGGGTTTCTCAAGACGGGGTGCTGCTGATGTTGATGGTCGACACCGCGGCCAAACGCTCCACGTCCTATGCTCGGTTTCTTTAAGGCTTAGTTTCTTTTAAAAAGTTTAAGGCAAGTTTGAGGTTTCGGGCTTGGGGTTTCGACTCGCGCACTCGCACTCCCAAACACGACTTCAGTGTCTCGGTTTGGGGTTTAGGGGCGAGATGAAAGGCGTCTATGCCATTCTAGGCCTGGGCTCAGGGTTCAGGGCTCTCACCACTGGGACAACTCCCCTTTGGCTCTACAATAGCGGCTAGCGTGTCCGGCTTCAGAGGTGTAGCATTCTTTGGCAGAAGGATGAAGTAGCAATTTTTCTTACCATGGGCAGGACTATGATGCTGCTGAAGTGTGCGCACCTCGGGGCTACTGTTCGCGTCACTTGCAGGGCTTTTGTGATCGGGTATGCACGCTGCGTAGGGCGACTACCGGGTGGAAGGTCATGCGAAGGATCGTCTTCATTTTCCATCGTGCTCCTCCTCCGGGCCTGGCGCAGTCATGCGCCGCCATCCCTCCCTGAAGCCTCAACCCTGTACTTACCCGTTGGTTAGTAGGGAATGGAAGAACGGTAGTCATAGTAGAAAAAGTATACCCCATTCCTCCATTCCCTACTAACCAAAGGTAAGGGTAAGGGGGAGTGCAGTGTAAGGGGGAGTGCCGACGAGCCCTGTTTTGTCACACTTGAGCCCCTTCTCGTTGGCCGAGCACAGGGGCCTCCTCATCGCTTCGAAGGCGTCGCCTTCGCCTTCCATGCGCTGCATGCAGCACGTCGGGTATCGGAGAACCCAGAGCCCAATACCCCGAAATTAAGGAATATAGCTTATATCTTAAAATGAGGCCCTATATAATTTAAGCCACATTCCTTAATTATGGTGTATTGGGCTCTTTGGGAATGGGTCTCGCCGCCTCGCCATCATAGGTCCCGCCACCTCTTCTCATCGAAATCCCAAAGGCAAGCGGGAGCTCCGCATCGAAAATGGCAGCATGATTCGAGCTTCCCGGCTTCTGAGGCCTAGTGCCAGCCCACATATGTACACGTGCCTGTCTATCTATCTGAGTCTGTCGACTGTACCTACCTACCGTCCTACCTACCACTACGTTTATGTGCAGGTTATGCAGGACGAAGAAGTTATATACAAGCGTACCAGAATCTGTACAAACACGCGCTTACTTGTGTGCTTGCATATGGAAGATCTGGCCCGATAAACACCTGGCGACACAAATGCGCTTAGACGCAGCCTTGCCTGCGAAAAGACTGAAGCCGCACCCAAGCTGTCACGAGAGTTACCCAGAGAGCCCCTAATCCCCTTAACTGAGGAATGTAGCTTAGATCTTAATATGAGGCCCTATATAATTTAAGCCATATTCCTTAATTAAGGGGTATTGGGCTCTTTGGGTATCTTCAGGGTAGCCCTAACCCTTAACGCCTAAACCCTAATCCGTGCCGGGTGGACACCGCCTGCTGACTCTGGCTACATTGCAAGAGCCGGTTTCTGGAAGACCCAGTTTCTGGAACCCAAGCGAAAACTGCCAATCCTAAACCCTAAGCTTGATACCGTGTTTTGCAACAGGCCTTGTGGTCCAGCAGCCCGGTCTAGCCAAACCCACACTCTCCCCTAACCCTCAACCCTGAGCCCTAGACTTGGCCCTAAACCCTTTTGTCTAAACCCTAAACCCTGAACCCTAACCCCGGTTTTGGGGGTGCAGGGCTCGGAGGGTCACGAGTCTGCGGTCGGGTCCTAGGAGTACGGCCAAACCCGAGGACCCCTGGCACCGGACCGTTTAGGGTTTAGGATCGAAAAATTTTACGACAAACCGAGTGTCCCCATGCGTGTTCGCCATCAGCATGCACCTGAGTGATGCAAAGGACAGCTGCAATCTTCGCAAACTATCATGCTCAAACTTGACCAGGAAGTCTGATTAGCTACAGTTGACGTCATGACACAGTCAAAGTACGCCCGGCCTGCTATGCGTCCTATGACAGATATACATCCAATAACTGCATTTCGACATGGCTATCTGCCAGAACATGCCAAGCTGTACCAGCAGCAATCATACGATCGCCAGGACCCCATCTTTATGTTGGGGCTCCAACCGTGTCTGAGAGCTCAAGGGGACGGTTGTAAGCGGACACGGGTGGTTGTTGAGGCTCCTAGAGGTCCTCCACAGCCAGAACACTCGGCAGCCATGTTGCAAAACGTTTCCGATGCTTCTGGGGATCTCTCTTAAGCTGCTGTGGGTCTAAGCCATAACGCATTATATACCTAAAATCTTAAGCCCGGTCTACTGAGTTCTGTTTAGCGTGGAGGTTGTTCCGAAGTGGAGTTTTGCCATATCAAACCCAAGCTCATCTCAACGTCGCCAGCTCAAAGGGAAGTCGAGTTAAGCGCACTTCCACCGCCGATGCTGGTCTAGAGCTTCGCTGCAGTTAGCCGCGGAGCACAAGCGCTGCATAATCATACCGGAACCTACTAGAAGCCATGTTGCAGGCCTCTAGGTGCTGTCGTAATCAACTTCAACCATTGCGTAGTGCAGCGCCTTTGTGGCAAAATGATGCTGGAAACCATCCCTGGCCAGCAATCCGCTTCCTACTTTCACAACGCTTCCTGCCACATCACCCTGAACCTCGAGACCACAAGCCAGTAGAATCAGGCCCAATGGCCACTCCCTAGCACCCTAACCTCTCTCATTGTATTCAGAACTAAACCTAAGCACAACAAAAGTAGTTTAATAACCTCCAAGGTAACCCTGAATGCTGGCAGGAGCACTTGCTTCTGATGACTTCTCTCTCCAGCTCTTCGATGTTCCGGGGATGGTTGCGGAACCTGGGATGCGAGGGTTTGGGGTCATATAGGAATTTCCAAAAACTATGGATACCCCTAGTTCGGGGTCCTTATAATAAGGAAACTACTATTGAGGGTGCTATACTAGGGTCCCGTACTTTTCGGAAACTCCCATACAGCTATATATAACGGCTGCATGGGATTACCATATTAGCCGCTATGAGGGTTTTCAACAGTCACAACTGGGCTGGCGGGGTTCCTGGAGCCAGCATCAGGCAAGCACGTGAGGGCCTCCCCCCTCCCGCTTAGCTAACATGAGGGTTTTGGGCTCTCGGGTTTAGGGGGTTTAGTTTTTTTTTTTTTTGTGCCCTCTTTTCCTTTCGCCCAAAGGTGTCTGGAATGCCACTCTGGCTGAGGGAGGCGGCCCGGGAGTATTGACCGAAGGGATTCACCACCAACACCACTTGCCCATGCATGCTGCAAACCCCTCTCCCGGACCTACATGCGAATCCGATCAGTAGCCCTGTCCGACATGTCCATCGCATCCACTCAACATCAAACGATTAAATGACAACCAGCCTAAGACTAAGCAAAAGAGAACAACATTGGAAGTTAGCGGATGTTCCAAGACTGTCATGGACCACTGAAAGTGCATGTGGGCAAGTGCAGTAGCGGCTCTGGTGGTATGCAACATAAAGGGTACAGTAAGGCAGAACCCGTTATATGCCGGCTACTTTCTCGCCATCGAGGCTGGAAGATTCTCAACAGACCTCGTAGCGGTGTACCAGTGGATGCCGCGTGGCTGGTGTCATAGGAAGATAGAAAACGAAGCTCTACCACTCTAATCAGATGAGTCGGACAGCGATCGCGGCATCCTAGCCTGTTCTGCTTGTGCGCAGCTCTGGCTCTTTCATGGTGGGCTCGTCTAGCAAAGTTCCGAAACGTTTCACTACCCCAGCTGTCTATCACCGTGCCACTGCTCACAAGACCTTTGCTCCATTTGAGGTAGAGTTCTGCTTTATGGGCCTCGTTCAATCTCTGCGCCTCTTGGATCATCGACACCTCGTCCGTCTTCGGGTCGCCCTTACGGTCCTGCTCGCCCCTGCCGGCTTCTCCATGCATGTCCTTGTTCTGGTCCACAAGCACTGTCTACTGGTCGCTGTTCTCTGAGCCGGCCTCAGAGTGCGTCGGCAATCTGGTCCATCCCTGGGCGAGGAGCATACGAAAGGCCATGACTGCGTTCTTGCCGTACCTGAGTTCCACCAGGTCATCTGCCATAGTCCCTTCTCTCCATGTGCGGTAGGTGCCGTGGAACTCGGGGTCGCGGAACAGCTGTTTCCATACTCCTCCCAGGTACTTGTTTCGAAGGTCGTTAGCCAACGAGGCGGGAGCAGCGGTCATGTACTGCGTGTCCTGCAAGGTGCCTAGGTTGGCTACGTCATCGACCAGCAACAGATCCTTTCCGTCAAGATTCGCCACTTCTTCGGACGATAGTTCGCCTGCCTTCCGTCTCCGGTACTTGTCCGCCGTAGATTCATCATTCATGCTGAAGACCTTCGGCGGTGTCGGGCCCTTGGATTTGCAGCCGAAGTTCTTCTTGTCTTAGCGCATCGCGAGCGTCCTGTGGTGGCATGGGCTTGGTGGCTTTGTTGAAGCGCTCTTCGGACGTGACGATCCCCAAGGACAACTGTATCTCCTCTCCTTCGTCCACTTCAAACTCGCTGTAGTGCTTGCGTCCTTTCGCATTGATCTCGAGTTTGAGCCTGGCTCTTTTGACTGGTGGTCCCCAGGACCATCCCAGGTGCGCTTGCAAGGCTCTCTCATCTTGTTGTTTGGCCTCCTTGGCCAACTCCTGGGTGTGCCATTCATGTAGTGCGACATCTGCGCGGTTCTGTTCCTCTTCTTCTTTTGCTCTTGCCTCCTCCATGGTCTGATCCAGGACGACTGTCTGGTTCGACGAGGCTGCTGCTCCATGTTGTGCTCGTAGCAGACGGTTGCGCCAGGAGTTTACCCATGCGATCTGTTCACAGAGCTCTTCGCCGCTGGGTTCCTTGGTGTCCGCCTCCATGTTGGCTGCTAGCACTGCGTCAACCGCCGCCCACTCTGGTATGATCCCGGCGTGTGGGTGTAGCTTGTCCCGCAGTTGCCTGCTTAAGGACGCCGCCTCATGTGGCGGGAAGCTCTGGAGCTCGTTGTGGAGGGCATTCTTGTCATCTCGGATGGTCTGGTCCTTCTTGCTGAGACGTAGAGCTCCAGTGATTGATCTTTGCATAAGCTCGGTTTCATCACCCGGTGCTTCTTCATCGGCCTCAGGTTGTGCAGCATGTGAGGAGGAGGTGCCTGTTCCTGCTTCGTCAAGTAGACCTTGCAGTTCTTCACGGATGCGTGCCAACGTTGGGTCCAGTGCCGCTTGCATGTGTGCCCGTTCCTCTCTGGTCTGGTCTGCCAATGTGTCCCTCACGTTGTTGGTGATCTCAGTAGGCAGGGACATGGGCATCTCATGCCAGTCAGAGGGTGCCAGTAAGCTTCCCCCGTAGGGGTCCAAGCCTAGCAGCATCATCCAAGCTCGTTCAGCACTGTCAGCATTCAACTCTTCTTCTGGCTGCTCTTCCTCCGGTGGAATCTCCACTTCCACTTCTTCCTCTTCTGGCTCTGGTGCCTCCGTTCTGCCAGCGTGCCACGGAGCGCTGCTACACCTTCTACTTAGAAGCGCCCTTTGGCTGCTCCCCCTGTGAGCAATGGTCTGGATGAGGCACTTCGGTGCTCTGGCCTAGCTGAGTGCCAGATCATCTTCGATGTGTTGGTATGTCTCCGACTTCCTTTTTGCTTTGAGGACCCACTTCTTGAGCACCAGGGCTGTTTCGTCATCTTCTGGATCGTTGCTTGTGCCAGACCCTGAGCATTCGTACCAGGAGCTTTCCTCATCTTCTTTGTCATCTGTAGCATCTGGTCTCCAAATGCTGCTGCTTGCGCTCGCCTCGCCTGTGTGGTCATCGTGGTCGGTTCGGCCCACTTCACCAAAGCCTTGACTGTGGGTTTGTGGTTTGGGCGCTCCTGGCCTTCTGTGTGGCGATCTGCTTCTGGAGAGGTGGCGGGTTTCTCGTTCACGTAGTTCCGCTTCATAGTGCTCTGGCTCGCACCATGGGTGCGGTTTTTCCTCATCTCTGTAGAGTTGCTCCAGGTCGGCATTGCGCATGGCAACGGGAAAGGTGTCACGAAGCCATCTTCTTCTCAGTCGGGCCGCCAGGTCTTGGGTGAAGGCGATCAACTCCTCTTGGGGAACTGTTGCTCCAGGCCTGGGGAGCATTCTGCCCCATCTGGCCCTTGCCTCACAATGTTCCACCCAGGTTGAGCGCGCCGCTGAAGGTTGCGGCGGGTGCCTGAAGAAATGATGAGGCGCGACGTGTGCCTCTCGGATGTGCCGCGTCAGAGATACTGGCTCAGCTGCGACAGAAAAGGCTTCTCGGCGTCTGCGGGCCGATCAGCGAAGGACGTATGACCTCGACGAAGGTCCTGGTCACATGCGATTGCCGCTGCGCAGCGCTCGGATGTCTCGGTGGTCCCTGATCCGGCCCACAGTCAGGCCTCCTGCTTGCATGGCCGCGGCGACGTTGTTCACTGTAGATGCCATTCCTGGGCTCACTGCGTCAAGGGCGGCCTCGTCAGCCGTGTCCACCGCTCCTGCACTCAGAGCCTTGGACACCAAGTCTGCGCTCATTGCTATGAGCTCCTGAACTTTCGCGATGCGCTGTGCGGGCGGCTCGGCCTGGGTTGCTGCCGCGTAACAGGCGCCGATTGGCGCAATGGCAGAGACGCTCTTGGCTTCAAGTGCCTTGCGGAGCAGTGCGAGTATCACCTCATCCGCACTCAGCGTTTTTGTCAATTCTTGCACCCGCGCCGAGTATCCGTCATACGAATTGAGCCCGCCGGCGTACGCCACGAGCGACGGCGAGAAGTTCACTGTTGACTCCATCTTCTCTGCCATCTCGCGATAGTAGGCCATGAGAGTGGCCGCGGTCCGCCGCAACTCTGTGCATCTCAGCCAGCGCTGTCTTGCCTTCGTTCCTGCATCGCCCGATGCCGTGAGCGGCGTCTTGATGGAAGCAAATGCCAAGCCGTACACCGCGACATCTGACTCGAACGACTCGACCAGGGAGACTGCCTCGTCCGGAATGGCCAAGCGCTCAGCCCGGTTCAAGTTCTCCAGGACAGCGACGAGTGAGCCGGCCCAAGCGGTCTCAGGACCGGCTCGCAGCGTTTCGTATCTGGTGGCAAATAGTCCACTGAGCTCTCCTGCTGCCATGTCGAGCGCACATGGCACCACAGGGTAGTTCAGCGTTGCTGCAGCAGGAGAAAACACAGCCAGCAGCGTCCACGGTGTGCATGGATGCACAATCTGCCAACTGTCTGTCGCTAACGCTGCCCCAGAATCTTGAATTGCATCGCGCACTGCCTGGTTGCGCGCACGCTCGAGAGCGGCGGCCCCCATCCCCTTGCGACTCTGGGCCAAGTTCGCGGTGATGGCCTTGGAGAACGTAAAATCACCGCCAGATGTCGTGCCGCTTGCGAGGCGGGCCTGCTCAACATTGCCCCATGCCATGCCATCAATGGATGCAATCTGGTCTGCGAGGTTCTCTGCGCTCATCCCTCACGTCTCCGCAGCATCCAGAGCGGCCAGCAAGTCCTTGACCGCCTGGGGCGGGGGTCGAGCTCCGGGGTTCAGGGTTTAGGGTGTAGGGTTTGAGGGTTCAGGAGCATGAGACGCTGGGTCTTGATAAGGGTATAAGTACGGTATAAGGGATCCAAATTGAAGGCTTTTCAAAGGTGCCATGGCGTTAGAGAGTTTCAGCACTCACAATTGGGACAAGCCTGGCAAGGTTACCAAAAAAATCAAGGGTTCAAGTTCTGAAAAAAGAAACTCTCGCAATCATTTTGCCAGGGAGCCCTACATATTTCAAATTATTCAAGCTTCTACATCCGGGTTTCGAGCATTTTGTCCGGACATCCCCAGAGCTCAAGGCCTCGAAACAGCCCAAAGCTCGAATCCACCAGGACATCCTTAACCCCTCCCCCACATCCTAAACCGGTTGCCTTGATCCCCACACCCGTCACCCCCCGCCCCCTCAACCCCACCCCTCCACCGACACATCGTGAGGAAGAGCCAGTTCTTATGGTCATTCTTGCATGTTCTTGCTACTTGTACTACTCTTCTTGTTTTGACTGTAAACTGCTGGCTATTACTGTAATCTTCATCGCCACTATTTTGCTTTGTTTGAAAATATTTTAATCCACTTATGCATTACTATTCTACCGTAACAAGGACTGTCCTAAATTTCGCAAACATGTTGCTTCTAGGCACTATGATATTAACCCCACGAGTCGGAGTCTTCCTTCATGGTATTGCGACTTGGGAGTTTCCGAAAATAGGGGACCCTAATATCGTACCCTAAATAGTAGGATCCTTATTATAAAGACCCCAAAAGAAGGTACCCCTAATTTTCGGAAACTCCCACTTAGGGTCTTGGTATCAAGGGGGCCAGCACACTAAACATAGGGATTTTGGGTCCATTATACTCTAATTGTGATAAGGAGCCCACCAAGATAGTATAGGTAATTATTAAGGCCCCTATATTAGCGCCCTATATTAAACCCCTACGGCCAACAGAATCCGGACGAAGGACACTGCTGTTGCCCATTGTGTGCCAACCTTGCAGAGGTCAGGGCCGCAAAAGAGTTGCATAAATATAATGAAGGGGCCGTAATAATTAGAATAGGGTTCTTGAAGCGGTTCCTCTAAAAGGGGTCTGTAAGCGATCTATCATAGGGTTCTATGATATTCGGGCCTTCATAACTAGAACAGGGTTTTGGGGCCCATGAAAATATAGTTATAAAAGGAACCACACCCCAAAAAATGGTATAGGTAATCATTTAAATGTAGGCCCTCATAGTAAGATCCCAGACCCGAAATCCTCGGGGTAGCCGCATGTTGCAGGGTGCGGGAGTTTGGAATTAAGGGCCTTAAGGTTTGGGTCGGGTCTTGATGCTGGCCGACTGAGTTTGTTCCAACAGCGTGCACCCCCGACTGCGCCCACCCGTCGTCGAGGACTCTTCCATATTACAAGGCCAGCCTTAGATACGAAACCGTTCGCGCAGGTCAAACTGTAGAGCATGAGCCCAATTCCACTAGGGAGCTAACCTTCAACGCCCCTCCACATAAAGCCCTCTTAGCAAAAAAACGCGCAAGACCCAAGCCCAAAACAAACAAAAACGGAACACCTTTCAACATCCTAAACTTCCAAACCCAATCCCTAAACAACTCCGAAGCAAATCAAATCAAATAGCAACCCCTTAAGAACCCTCTAAAGAGCACCCCAAAAAACACCGCAACTCGCATGCCCCAAACCCTAAACGCCTACACCCTCCACTCCTTAAAACGGTATCCCGATGACTTCCCCTGGGTGGCCTGGTCTTTCACCAGTTCCAGGCCGATCCTGCTCACCAAATTCCTGGCGACGAAGGTCAAAGCCATTCTCTCGTGGGCTTGATGCTTTTCAGCACTCACTCTCGGACGAACCACACTTAGGGGTTTTAAGATGTCTGGGGTGCACTTAAAGGGGTTTAGGGTTCAGAGTGAGGTTTTAGTGTTTTGTTTCCCTCTCGCATGGCCGGGATCAATGCCGACTCGCGCGGTTGCTTTGGGAAGAATAGTTTGAAGGTGCATGAGTGGCATCTTCCATACCGCATGTAGGTCGCGAGTGCGCTTGACGGTTACAAAGAGGGTTTGGGGTTTAGGGGGTTTTGAGGTTTACGGGGTTAAGTGGGTTTAGGGTAACTTAATACTTGTGGGGTTTATGAAGCTTTTCAGGCTTTGCTTTACGGCTTTTACGGGTTCTTACAGGGTTTCGACTCGCTCGCTCGCACAGGGCAGGCGAGGCCTTTGGGTTAAAGGGTTCTTTGACTGTAATGTCCCGTAATTACAACCCATTCTTAATCTTCGACTTAGCAGCAGACGTCTGTGCAACATGTTGAAGATACATCTTGTTCCACCAAAGCACGGAGTTTAAGTACGGTGCAGCCCAATAAGGACTCAAGCGAACGCACGGAACTAAATACAGCAAGCACCGAGTTTCGCAACCAAAGTGTGCGAGAGTTGTGCCCAGCTACCTGATGCTACCAATGGTCTGATGCCGAAGGGCTTGCCTCAAAACACAGCCTGAAAACGTGTGACTCATCACAGCTATACAAACAACAGGTTGCGAACACCGACTACGACAAGACTGACTACATACAGAGCGACAAGCAAGCCCGACGCATGTTGTACACTTGCCTGCGGCTTAGGGAGTGAAAGGTTTCTGTCCACAGCCTAGTTACATTACCAACACCTTGTGGACAAGCAAGGAATCCACTGAAGTTGTCCAAGTTGCTACAGTTATTTACTCTAGAACAGACTCTGGAGCACACAATCACGGCGCATGCAGGACATGCAGCTGTATAGGAAGAATGGCTTCTATTGGTGTCTTTCCAAACGGATCCACCAATGTTCCCCTTCCCCAGGTTATCCCGAAGATTCAAACTAACAGAAACACTTAGTGTGTGAATGTTAGGAGCTTTGGGGTTTAGGGCTTTAGATGTGAGGGTCAGATGGGTCAGGTTCCGAGCATCTTATATTCTTTTCCCTTCCTGGCCTCACCACCGACGAGGCACACACGATCATCTCGTCGAAGCTGGTGGACCTCGGGGGCTGCTGTCGGTATACCGTGTCGCAAAAAGTACAAAGCAAGCAAATAAGTATTGCGAACAAGAACAATGAAAGAATAACCTGTAGACTATAGACACCAAAAGGTCTATCAGGGTATCTCGCAACAGACAACGGTCACGTTTTCAAGACACGTGTGCTCAAGACGATTGTGCGCGCGCGCGCGCGCGCGTGTGTGTGTGTGTGTGTGTGTGTGTGTGTGATAGTCTCTGTCGGCATGCCATGCTTGTTGGCTGGGCAGGTCCGATATTGTGCTTGTCAAGCTCTTCACCCCAAGGGCAAATGCCACCATAAATCGGATCATTGACTGGAGGTGTGCTTGGCTCAAGCTTCGTGAGGTGCCTCAGACGAGGCAGAAATTGACGACAACAGCTTTCCACATGTCCCGACCTCACAATCCTGCCAGGACCCCTGCAGAAGCCTTGCAGAGCCTTTAAATACAAACGCCGAGAACTCCTGGTAGAACCCTGGAAACCGTTTAGTCGAAATCCCTAACATACCTGTAGAACCTGGTAAAACTTTAGAAAAACATAAAGGAATTCCCTTGCTGAGGGAACCCTTGGATTTGCACGTCCGGCTCTGTTGCTGCTAAGCAGAGTCCTGCCGAGTGAGACGTCAAAATGCTTTGGCCCTGATTAGACTAGGGTGTTGGGGTGTAATGTACTGTGATTATAAGAGGACTTGCAAGGGACACTATTCTAGTTATTCCGAGAGCTCAGCCAAAGAAAGCCTGTTTCTGGAATCAGAACTTCTGAGCCCGAGCTCACAGTACAGCACAAAAGGTGGGCGGGTGATAGTGGAGATGCTCGTGCCAGCCGCCGTCGTCCAGAGCCTCCTGCTGTTGCAATGTGTGTGGATGATCGATGTCTCCGTGACCGTGACCATGGTCGTGCTCATGGCCGTAGTCTCCAGCAACCTTAGTGCCAGCATGCCTGTGTCGATGCGAGTGGAAGAGGAGAACCCAAAGCCAGTAGGTGACAGCAGCCATGGTCACGAAGCACACAGAGCAGGCGATCAGAATATGAAACTGTGCCGGCTTGTCGAGGATCAGGCCGGACCCATACATCATGAGGGTGGCGATAGAGACAAGGGCCGTGTCCACGGACCCTATCGCCGAGCGGTGGCGCGCGTCCGCGAGCTCCTGCTCCGTGTTTAACACGGCGAGCTCAAAGGAGTAAAGCCCCGCTCGTGCGACACAAATGGCGACCATAAAGATCAACAACGCCGGCCCGAGCCCAGGCGCCTCAGGTGCCTCTCGAAAAGCGACCAGCGCCAGCATTACGCTGCCCGCCAGCCAAGTCACAGAGAAAGCCTCAGCAGGACGGCCGCCGACGAGTCGGCAGAGAATCGGGTGCCCCATCACACCAAGCACACCCAGTATGGCACCTGCACCTCTCAGCAGCGACAGCTGCCAGCTGGTCACACCTCGCTGCATGAGGTATGCGGTGAGGAGAGCGCCGTTTGGTGACAGCACCGTCAAGTAGAGCATCGCATAAGATATGCTCAGGAACTGGATGCCGCTGGGGTGGCTCCCCCAAGCCTTCCATGCCTCTACCTTGGCCACCAGAGGATTTGCCTTGCGCTGCACCTGCTCGGCTGGCAACGGCTGCAGTTTCTCGGTGCGGGCGGCGTAGATCTCCAGTAAAAGGCTCAACTGGGGGAGGAAGGACAGCGCATTCCTGGGTTCTTGTTATGGGATTTCATTGAAGTTACCATAGTAAGGAGACCAGATTATTTACGATAGATTCCCATTATGGTAACTTAAACCATAAATGTTAAAGGAACAGAAAGGGCTGCCATGGGGTCTGCGTTTGTGAAAGGGCAGGTTTCACGGTAGCTAAAGGAAACCGTCTAGATCCCTTGAAGGAACCCTTATAGAATCTAGATCTCTATTATGGTAGCTTAAATTAAACAGCTTTAGAAGAACCCAGGGTCAAGATCCCAACCACCACGAAGCCGGCGGCCTCGGCGTCTTCAACGCCCAGGTCGATCGCCAAGCGAGGTGTGATCAGAAGCCCGGCCAGCAGAGGGCCTAAAGTTAGAGTGACCAGATCAATCTGGGACATCACGGAGTTTGTGTGCTTCAACGTGTCACCGGAGAATAAGCGCGGTGACCAGTCCCGCTTGACGGAGACGTCGCTTATCGTGGCACCCAACTTCTCTACGATACTGAGAGCCGTGAAGACAAGAAGTCCTCCCAAGCTCATCGACTTTGGGTCAGCTTGCAGCACCACTTGGAGGATCGGCGGTGTTATATTTGCATAGCGCACTTACTATGTGCATGCAGCACTTACTGCGGGACTTACATCCTAGGCAGGTAACTCACTTTGAGCACTTAGGATTACCATTAAAATAACTAAGTTAAGGCCGTGGACTAACCTGGTTAGTGCATTGGGCCTAAGTACATTTTCCAACTTACGGCCAAGTGGGCTAAGTGGGTTCGGGCCTCCATGGCTAAGTGGGCTAAGTGGGTTCGGGGGGCAGGAAAACATCGGTCAAAATTCACATCCACAGTGACTTTTTGGACTCTTTAAAGCAGGGTTCCAAAGCAGATTCGTTTGTAGATTTATAGACATTTGCAAGTATGCGTATATGCATATTTATGCATGCATGACGTATGCATGTTTGTCACGTGTGCCTGTATTTTTGTCTATATATCTGTATATGGATATACACAACTATATTGTCACATCATTCTGTATAATTTATGTGTACATACATACATACATATGTATATATATATATATTTAAATACATGAATATATCTATACATGTGTTTATGTTTTATATATATACAGACAAAGCTATACCCACATGAATGTATGTATGTATGTATGTTGTGAACTGGTGGTAAAATGTGTACGGATACAATACAACACTATACAATGCATCTTGCTAACTCTCCCTATATGCCAGTATACATATACAAAAAACTCTATATAGATACCCTTTGTATATAAACATATGTATATATATATATAGATAGATATCCCCTTTCTACAATCCCGGTAGGGTCTTAAACCCGGATTTTCGTCATATATATATATATATAGAAACCTCTTATATGTATGCCCTCCATATACATAACCACGTATACCTATATATACAACCCTATATAACCCCAGAAACCACGGCACAGCGTCGGCCGCAAAGAGCATGACATAGGCGGCAGCCTGCATGCGTGGAAAAGGGCTCGTGTGCTCTCAAGCAGGTGGATTGATTATACTTGGTATTCCTTACAGGGGGCTGCGAAAAGTTGTGGACGGTAATTGAGTCGCAGCGATGCTTCAAGCGATCTACATAGAAACTTCATTTGCGGGCAGTTGCAGGTCATATTTATCTACATACCTTGCACTTTATGGAGTTGATGCGGACGACACGGGGCTTCCCCAGCACATCAGACATCTTACATAACTCCCGTATATATACACGTACAAAATCAGACTCCATGACCAAAAGGGCCAACACGTGAAAAGATTCTATATTGTAAATGAAGCTTCGAATATATAGATGATGGTTGAGTGGTATAAGGAAGTGGATGTGTAGACATGGGACCCGTGTTCTAGAACTGAAAAGTCTGGGGCGCAGGCGAACAGCTTTTCTTGCGATGATCTGCACGGTTTCTGGTGTAGCAACATCCCTTATAGAGATGATTGCTGGCTGTGCGAACAAGTCCTGCACAGCACTCTGCGAGATTCGACCCTGCAGAACGGAGACGACGACAGCACCTTTACATGGGCATGCTCAAAGGTATGACCAAAGCGCGGTCACCTTCCTTCTTGAACATGCAAAGGCGGGAGATGTGAGCTGTCGGTCTGAAAACAGGCTCCTGGCATATGTCAAAGCGATTGCGTCCCAAAGCGCGCCACACAGACATGCAGGTATAATGGTTTCCGTTGAAAACAACGTGAAACCAGACCTGTGCCACCTCGTCGCCATTGGGCTCACTGACGACCACCACGTCCTCCCTCTTGCAGAGGCGGCCACTGCCAACATAGCATTTCATGCTAACCTGGAGTCCAGCGCAGGCGGGCAAGCCGAAGAAAGAGGAAAAGGCCGATTGCACCAACTCGGGAGCAGCTTTACCGTTGATCAGTCCAGCTCTTTTTTCGGAGAACTCCTTGAGGTCCTTGAGGTGTTGTTCCAACTCCAGTTGAAGGACGTGTTTCTCCGAGCCTGTCTGCATGCTGTCCAAGTTGTTTGCGTATCTCTTTATCTCCTTATGCCTCCTCTCATGTACAAAACATGAGAGGAGCACAGAGTGTCTTCGGAGGAGGTCGCCCAAGTGCATGTTCATATGATGCTTGGGGAGAACGTAGTCTTCCCCATAGCAAGCCTTGAAAAGTTCAAGGTGGGACGATACTTTGTGTTCCAGGGTTGTCGCCAGGTTCGCAACGTCCCCCGGTGTCGCCGTCTTATAGAGTTGGTCCAACACCTCACAAAGAATGAAGAAGCAACGACAGCACTCCTTGGCATCATTGTCCCGGATCAGTGGCAGCTTCTCTTGAAGAAAAGCTCTCATGGCGGGGTAGAGAGCCATGCATTCCGACGCCCCCGACTTGAACTCGGTCAATGTCTTTGCGAAAACCTTTTTTGCAGAAGCACCTTTGTCGCCAACGGCCGACGGCCAGTTGCAGTCACTCAGGAAGCGGTGCCTGCGTGCATGCTGGACGTGCATGCTGGACTTCCGTTGTGAAAAGGCAGACGATACAACTATATATTGTAGAAAACACAGACACACACGCACCCAATATTACAAAAATAAGGAAAGCAAACATTCTTGCTTTTGTTCAGTGGCAGCTCGGTCTGTGGGATGCCCTGGCTCCGGAGGACTTTTAGCAGCTCCGTCATTTCAACCTGAAAAATTCCTCCCACGACGAAATTGTGCATCCAGTCGTACATGCTGACGGCAATCGGTTTCAGGTGTGGCCGCAGCTCTGCTGAGAACAGAGGGCCATGCTCGGCATAGTTGAGCCCCAGGGCAAATTGGCGCATCTTAAATTCACCCTTGTTCATTCTTGGCTTGTTGTCAGCCAAGTGCACAGCAGCTTCCAGAATGGTTTCGTCGGTGTGCCTAACCATCTGCCCCTTGTTGTGGCAGACGTGGCTGACTAGCGTGCCTGTGGCATCACAGCTGTGCAGGCTTGAAGAGTGGGCGACGACGTTCTGGCACATAAAACACAGTTTTGTGCCAGAGGCCCCTTTGTCCTCCCAGACGCTTTTCAGGGCGGCCTCGTCAGCGATCAAGAGACCTCGCTTTACATCTATGCCCCGAGACAAACACAGAGAAATATATATGGAATATTTATAAAGGATCATTAAAAAAACACAAACTCAACAAATCAGATAAACATGTAGAACGTGTATATATATGATTTTGTATGTGTGTGTATATATATATGTATAAATACGGCTGCGAGTGATCTCTGCAGCCTCGGGTTGGCGGTCTTTGCACTAACCTGCCACCCTATATATATATATATATATCTGCATGGAAAGATGAATTTCTCTCTCTACAGACTCGGTGCATGTTCCAAATGTTTCCACAAAGTATTGCTGACACTGACCACGCCGCCAAAACGGCAACACAGCATCCAGTGCTGCGAATTGGGCATAGGCAGGCTGATGCCGTGTAGCATCTTCTCTCGCCGCTCCAGGAGGAAGATGGCAAAGATCCTTACATGTGCATAAGGGGAATGATGCATGCACGGCATCACTGACACATGTCAGCATATGGACACATGGCATGTATAAATACCTTAAAAAAAGGAACCCTATATATACATGCATGATGAGGGCCTCTTCATCAGTTGTGTCATGCCGTTGCTGAGACGCTTGACGTCGATGGAACGTACTGCAGTTAGCACGAACCATGCGTCCTCTTTGCTCAGTGCCAGCCCCCCCAACTGCTTTAAAGAGAAGTACACCACCTGGAGCTTGCGCTCATTCAGTGGCTTCAGTTGGTTGCCCGGGGACACTTCATCAACGTAGAGGCACAAGTCCCATGGGTGGGCGGGGCTGCAGGGGCATCTCGCGGCGCGGGTTTGCAGGAAGTTCTGGAATCCACCTCCCTGCTGGCAGGCACTCCACAGCAAAGCTACAGGGTCCAAGTAAGTCACTTTGAGTGGTGGCCCCTGTGCCATTTCGAAGCCCGTGAGCTCTCTCCAAAGCGGCCCATACGGCGTGCTCAGATTGAGCTTCAGGTCCCGCTTCCGCTTCAATGTGGACCTCGAGGGAGCGGCTTCATCATCCTCTTCGGGCAAAAGTTCCAGTATCTCAGCAAGCGCTCGCTGAGATACGAAGGACTTGCGATTTGCCTCCAGAACCCTATTGACGGCCATCTTGAAAAACTCTAGGCTGCGAGCGATCTCTGCAGCCTCGGGTTGGCGGTCTTATTGAGCCTGCCACCCTGATGGAGGAATGACGTGTATATGTCATATCATGATGCTTTGCATATGTACATTAGCCTCAATGCATCTACTCAGTGAAATACGTGGATTTTCCAAAGTATAAAATGTCAGGGACATCAGGTTTCTATATGGCCTGAAGATATGCAGGTATACATACACACATATCTTGAAGCATGAACTGCCATGAACATTAACATATAGGATCGATTCTTTGTACATAATGTTCTCGTTTATATATATATATATATACATATATATATATATATTACATATATGTATATACATATATATATATATATATATATTCACATACACATATATATGTATATGGACATGTGTATATCTATTTGTATATACATACATACATACATATATATATATATACGTATGACATAGAAGTATATATGCATGTGCATATACATATGTATATATATATATATATATATATATGTAAACACGATCGGAGTAAACCTTATACGAATTTACAGGTGGACGTCAGGACTTGGCAGCAGGAATGCTGCAGCACACTCTGGATTGAGCCATGCAAAGAAGCATGCGTGTCAAGCACCGTCGCACATCATGCCCGTCTCTTGCAGCTTTGAGGACTTGTCAATACGCACTTTTTTGCAGAGAGTTGCCGGCCTTGTCGCGAGATCACCTCTATACACAGAGTCGCTGCAGCTGCTCAAAACCACGCATCATCCATGGATCATATATACTTACATTTGAATAGTCCTGCAAAACAAGTGCAAAAACGGTCTTCATATCAACGTGAAGCTTATAACCGTATATAGACAAAAATCTATAGAGACCCATGCAAGCATGCACGGGGACATGTAGGCGTGACAGCCAGCAACTATATACAGAGGAACGCAAAGAATTGCTTGAGGCGAGATGGGTGTTATCACATCTTCAATGTGAGAAGATGTGCAGACATGAGCATGTGCCGAGGTGTAAATGTTTATCGTCCATTGATGTTGTGTGTTAATATTGTTTCAATCTTGTGGTATATACTGATAAACCTATATTGATATTGATATGAGGAATGCAATTGTTTGTCATGGTCCTTTACATGTTTATTGTTATTATCATTCGGATTGTTTTTTGTTGTAGTCGTTATTGCTATTTGTGGTATTTTTTGTATTGTGATCACGAAAACATATATATATATATATATATATATATATATATGTATATATATATATATAGACATATACCTATATATATATATATATATATATGTATATATGTATGCATATGCTTCTTATACTGCGATTGCAGGTTTCTGCTATTCTTGTAGTGTTCCTGTGATACTGGTTTTGGTCTTATAGGTTGTGTTGATCAGTGGGATGATGTTGAATGTTATATAGTGCTTCCTGTCAATCTTATCCTTGTATCTTAGGTGAATTTACAAATATTCCAACGTTTCACGCTCAAGATTATTTGCATACACATGTACTGCAATTTTACGTTGTGTCAACAAAAAGGCTCAATGCGAATAACACGACAACATTAAGAACTGGAATGTCGATAGCGATGAAAACAACAAATAACAAGAAGCATGATATATAAATAGAATAGACAATCAGAATGACGTAATATATCAAGAAGATGCAAGACAACTTGGACAATTGATGCACCCTCATGACTCATGCCTCAATCCAGCCATGCTTCTGGGCTTCGCCCCGCGAGCGGAATCGCCCGCCATCAGGAGAATAATAATACTTGTCCGTCTGGCCAGCGCTTTCGCCGCCACCGCGGGTTCGTACCTGGACCCTCCAGCCTTTGTTTGGGCCGGTGGTAATGAGCTTCCCCTGGGCCTCAGACTTGGGAGATGCCGTCGCCTTCGCCTTCGACTTCGCCATTGACTTGGGCTCAGGCTTCGCCTTCGCCTTTGACTTGGGCTGAGACTTCGCCTTTGCCTTAGCAGCGGCAGGCTTCTTCATCACAGTCTTGTCCTGGGGCGGCTCCTCGTCCTCCTTCATCCTGACACCGTCCTGGCGGTTAGTCACGGCATTTTCGACGACCGTGGCAGCATGCAGCACGTCCATGGGGCTGTTCTCGGGGATCTTGTTCGTCGGAACAGATGTGTCTGGCATCTCGAAAGTCGCCTGCAGAGCCCGCTGCGTCTGCGGCGACTGCTGCGGGTGCTGCCGCGTCTCATCTGCCTGCGGCAGCTCCTGGGAGTCTGGCCCTGTCATCTCCATCTGACGGTTCTTGTCAGGTGTGTCATGGGACTGCAAATGTGCACCGGTCAGAAGAATGCCATCCTTCTTTTCATCCTTGGATTTCGGTGGTTTTAGCATCTGGAAGCCTGGAATGTCCCCAGAGCCTTGCGATCCCGAAGCTCCGGACCCTTGAAACATGGTCATCATGACGCTGGCCAGTTGGGTTGCGACCTGCTGCGCCATGTTCCCGAAGACGTCTTGCTGCTGCCCGGACGCAGTCATGCTGGCCTTAGCCCTCTTGGACACTTGCATCTCCATGCCGCTGCCTTCGGACCGCAGTTCGAGGGAGCTTTTGCGGACCACGGCGTCTTGCCGCAAGATCAAAGCTGATTCCACAACCACGGGCGGGTCGGCCTCTGAATAGGCTTCCTCCCTGACGGCCTGCGGGAGGTCCTGTTGGAACGTTCGGACGTCCAAAATGGATGGGCTCAGAACCAGTGCCTATATACATACTGCAATCTATAAGAAGCATGCATATGCTTACATACATCTATATATATATATATATATATATATAATTCTCTCTCTGTGTCTCTCTCTCCCTCTCTCGTCCCTCTCTCTCTCTCTCTCTATCTCTCTCTCTCTCTTTCTCTCATCTTTAAACACAGAACCAAATACAATCACAAGGTCTGAATTGGTTATATGTTTGTAGGAACATATAACCAGTCCTGCCAAGTCGACGGGAACGGAGTCGGCAAGGGGATTTTCGGTAGTCGTTTGCTCTTTGCCTTCAAGTGCTTCTTGACCAAGAGCAAGAAGTCGTACTGGCCCCTGGCGCCCTCGAACGTGAGGCCAGCCGCCTTCGCGGTTTTGATCACTTCCGCCCATGCCTGCTCTGACGGGAGCCATAATTGAATTCTGACCAGTCTTGTAGCGATCTGGTCAGCTTTGCAGTGCAAGCTGCAAGAGGCGTCTTTTAGGATCTCGATGTCTTGCCGGCTCAAAAAAGTCGAGAAGCATGCGACGTCTTGGTTGGGACGGCGGACTATTGATCTCGTGGGGTTGTGGGCGATGATGTTACTCATGGTGCCAGCCACCGCCGCACGGTCTTCGACAGACCACGGTCCGGCCCGCAAGACGGTGCTGAGAGAAGTCGCTTGCTCAGCAGTGAGGGTGGTAAACGCCACGATGTCTTGCATGACCTGGGCGAGTTGTGTCGCCTTCACTGAAAGGAACTGCTTCTCGTCGAGGTCGGGCTTCTGGGAATCCAAGAATGTCTGCACCGCTTGGATCTTGGTCTGCAACTCCGCAAAAGTAGCCATGGTTAAGAAAAGACCGGGGAGTTCGGAAGTGTGACTTGATGGCCGAAAACAATCTGCTTCGGAAGCAAGCGAGTTTGGAAACCCTGCTTGGGGATCCTGCGGCCATGCCTGCAGTATCTCACACACACACAGGCAGGAAGCATGCATCTTCGTCTGTGTCAGAGCAGCTGGACAGGTCAAGTCTGTTTGCAAACACCCAGAAACATTATGCCAATGTATACTTCAAAATCCACCAAGAGGACCATCCTGCTGCAACGGCTAGCTCTGTATGCATGTTTAATCGAAATGCACATGTACACAGACCATATATATATATACTGGAATATACAAGCACTCATAGCAAGACGTCTACACACATATATATATATATATATATATATCCTGAAACCAATAAGCGAAAGACAACTCGGTGCTGATCTAACATCCCAATCGCCAGGGACATGTATAAATCCCTTCATGTGTATATGTAAATATATGTATATGTATATGTATATCACATATCACAATATATGAGGATCCAGCAGGCATGTCTTTGCAATTCAGACGGTGCGAGATCGTCTGCCATCGCCGTGGGATCAGCAAGCAGGGTTTCCGGAGCCACTTGCACTTACGCAGCATCATCAGACCTCAAAGCATTGTATGGCCCTCTCTCCGGCTCCACGCACAACATGTACATATATCTATATAAAAAAATGTATATTTTACATATATATATATATGTATTGCACACCATCAGAAAAACAGATGTGTGGAAAGCAAGCAACCAAGCAAGCAAGCGAAACAGAAGAATGTATCGGGTACATGCACGCATTTTCACACAGAGCAACGTTTAGAACCACAGCACTTCCATCAAGTACCTGACTATAGATGGATACATGTGCCTATATCCATCTTGTACAAGGTCTATACATATGTGCGTATCCTATGTTTATCTGTGCATACATATACATCCATAAACATCCACACCAGCGTGCACAGAAAGCTTCCCTGACATGCAATGTCAGTCTCTCGGATAACACCTGTTTTTCCCCAAAGACCTGCCCCATGGGTCTGTTGAAATCTCATCAAGCTGCACGGCCATGCATGTGCATACTTTGTATATTTCTAACGTTTAGAAATATACCTAGAACCTATCTACCCACATACAGAACTCTTTAGTCTATGTAAATATATATATATATATATATGTTCACAAACATGTATGCACATCTAGACTAATGGCAGCAGATGATTGGCAAGCACGACTTTGCCGGCTGCAGTCTTCCTTGTGAGACGGCGAAACGGCACGACACCAGCGCCATGTCTGAACTTCTTAGGAGGTAGCCAAATCGACCCCATGCTGTCCGCCATCAGGGTACGGCTGGCAGAGGACACAAGCTTCAAATGCAACGATCCTCGACCGAAACCCTTCTGAACCACCCTGCGGAGGTCCTTGATGCCAACGGTGCGGCTGTCACTCGATGTCCACCTCCCAACCAAGGCTCCGGACATGGTATACCAGCCGAAAACCACATTACCCTCGTCCTTGTTCCACGTTGCATGCACGGAACACACGATGGTCTGTGCAGGCATGTAGCGGATGATGATTGCAAGGTTGACGTGGTCGTGCTGGTAAAACCAGGTGTTGTCGGATGTATTCATCAACCTCAGCTTCAATCGACGAAAGCCCGTGCGGAGGCCAAACTGTGTGTGAATCCGGATGGCGTCCCGGTTTGGGTCTTCCTGTAGTAACCTCGCAAGTGTTGACGGCAGTGGCCACCACCGTTCCATGTTCTTCTCCATGAGCTCTTCAACGTGATCATGACCTAGCTGTGCGATCCAGCCTTCTCGCTCGCAATCCACCTCGTAGTACAGGAACCGGCCTGGGGCATCCATGTCTACACGGAGGGAGGCAGCTTTGACCACAGTGGCTTGAGTCGGCTGAGAGCACAGGCGAGTTTGAGACAACCCTGCCATGTGCAGCACTGGCGACCAACAGCCTGCCATGTGCCAGCATGCATGCAAGATGTGCACTGAAAGCACAAAACGAGAGCATCACATCTTCTTTCCTGCCGCCAAAGCTTCAGCTCTCACAGGTGTCGCAAAACTTTCCACCTTAAAGAAATCCTGCAGCATATGTAGAGAACTAGTAAATGCCTGCAACATATAAACTCTGGACACACTGATTGTTGCGGTGTAAACACATCACTATAGAACCCATGATGAATGTAGACACAAAGCAAGAACTAGCCCATGACGGGAAGGAAAAACTCGCTCAAGCGCGACTCACCCGGCTTCGTCTTCTTGTGCAGGCGGTACTTGGGCTTGTAGCCTGCCGCGGCCGCGCCTTCTACGTACACCATACAATCAAAAAGAGTCATGATTCTGATCTCGTGTGCTGTGGAGAGGATCTTGATGCCTGTGCCCTCGGGCGGCTTCAGGGTCTCAAGGACATACCATTGAACGTCATAGAACGATATGCCCTCCAGACCACAGATCTCGAAGTCTGTTGCGATGTTGTTGGTCATCTTGTATCTTGCCTGAAACCTCAGTACACATATGTCACAGAAACATTTCATGCATGCACATGTACACAGAATATACATATATATATATATATATATGTCAAATACCAATCAACTGTTATATAAACGTCTATAAAAGTATAAGTTCCTCCAGACATGTGTGTCTACAGACGTGTTTATTATATACAAATGTTATTTATTTAGGGATGCCATGCTGGCGCAGCGACCTAACCCGTGTTGATGTCGGCATCTTCGAGGCATACATGTCCAACACGATCCAATGCCGGCATTTCGGCCGCACCAGAAGTTGATTCTCGGCCACCGTGATGCTCTGGTAGACCATCATGTGGTAGGGGTCCCTGGTATGCAAGTACCACACCTGGCCCTCGAACTCGAAAGAGTCGCCTCCCATGTCGGTCACCATCTCAGGGTCGGTGACGTCAACCCACTGCTGGTTCTGGAGGCTCACTCCATCTCCTGTCGGACGGATATCACGGCAAAATTCCCATTCCACTGTTGCCATGGAATGTCTCAGTAGAGGGATCGGGATCGCGTTGCTTCTCAACAGCCCAAGCTGCGAGGAACACAAGACGCATCATGGGCGGCCTGAGCGAGGTATACACCCCTGCTCAGTGTGCTTGGCGGGACTTCCCTGCCTGCACACTACTACTATTCTACTGCTACTACTACTACTACTATACTACTACTACTACTACTACTACTACTACTACTACTACTACTACTACTACTACTAGTACTACTACTATACTACTACTACTACTACTACTAATACTAGGACTATATACTTATGTATACTATAGTACTACTACTATACTACTACGACAACTACTTATGCTGCTACTCCTTTTCTACTAGTACTATACTACTACTACTACTACTACTACTACTACTAACTACTACTACTAGTACTACTACTACTACTATACTACTCCTACTACTACTACTACTACCACTACGACTACTACTACTACTATACTACATACTACTACTATATACTACTACTACTTCTACTACTACTACTACTACTACTAGTACTACTACTACTACTACTAGTACTATACTACTAGTACTACTACTACTACTACTACTACTAGTACTACTACTACTACTACTACTACTACTACTACTACTACTACTATACTACTACTACTACTATATTACTATACTATATACTGTAGTATAGTACTATGCTCCTAGTACTACAAGTTCTTCTATACTACTATTTACCAGAAGTCTACCACCATACTACTATACGTAGACTACTTTACGTCTATACTATAACATGTATAACAGACTTCTTAATAGGATATTATATATACTACAATCAACACACTGCTACTATACTGCTGATGTATATGATACTTATACGACGGCTACGACTACTACTATATATTCGACCACACGTAGACTAGGACTTTGATACAGGAGAACACAAACGGGCGACACCACCTCCGTTCAGGGTTCGTGCATGATGCAGCAGGCTTGTGATCGCTGCATGGTCTGGCAGGAGTGACACAGTAACCGCCGACCGGGAGCAATTCTGGTCAACTCGCTGCCACTATAGAAAACCACCATGTATAGACTGTTCCATTACTGTGACGTCATACTTTGCTATAGTACCATTTTATTATATATATATATATATGTATACATAGACTATTACTACTACAACTCCTTTTGCCTCTGTAGTGTATCACTTTATCAGTACGACAAGTCTACTCTTCCTGCCTATACCACCACCACTTATAAACTATACAGTAACTACCAACCTGAAACTATACCTCTTTAGTAATTGTATTACTACTACTACCTCTATATTACCACGACTATAGCACCGTAGTACTAGTAGTGTAGTAGAAGTATAGTAGTAGTAGTAGTAGCAGTAGTAGTACTAGTAGTAGCAACAGTAGTAGTAGTACTAGTAGTAGTAGTAGTAGTAGTAGTATAGGAGTAGTATATTTGCAAGACTATCAGTACACTAGCAGTATGAATGAAAGTAGAAGTATCACTAGTACTACTACTACTACTACTACTATAGGACGACTACTACTACTACTCCTACTACTACTACTACTCCTACTACTACTCTACTACTACTACTTCTACTACTACTACTACTACTACTACTACTACTGTTGCTACTACTACTACTACTACACTACTACTACTACTACTACTACTACTACTACTACTACTAGTACTACTACTACTACTATATACTACTACTACTACTTCTAGTACTACTACTAGTACTACTACTACTACTACTACTACTACTACTACTACTACTACTACTACTACTACTACTACTTCCACTACTATACTACTACTACCACTACTACATACTACTACTACTAGTACCACTACTAGTACTATATACTACTACTACTACTACTATACTACTACTACTACTCTACTGCTACTACGACTACTACTATTGTACTCCTAATATACGACCAGACTAGTTCCAGGACGACGACGACGACAAGACTCGGACTATACTGTTGCTACGACTACTTAACTATCTACTACTACTATTACTACTTCTACTAATTATAGGACTACAGGATATAGTTCTATATAATGTGCACGACATACTTAAATTCTGCCTAGATACAGCAACAACCACTGAAACGACCGAACACGACCACCAGAAGGAACAACACTATCATCTAGCTCTCGCAACATGACTGCGACACATCAATCCCCTGGTCGATTTTTCTCTGTGGAAAAAAGACGCTCCGGAAAAATGCACAGCACCCGGACACGCCTTAGGCGGGTCCGGAGTGCCGGCAGCTCCTGCAGTGCGCCCGCAGGTTTAGGTGCTTCCGTCCCCGTTTGGGGAGCCCCCGCCAAAGCGTCTGTTTGGGCCCGAAGGCAGACGGCCGCCACACGTAGCGGTCCGCCGATCTTGAAAGGACCCGGTTCGTTCGCGACCCGACAACCGCGATGGCGGCACATGCCGGAATGTCGGAAGTCTCACGGTACAAGACTTTCATTACCTCAAGAAATCTCAGCTTGCCCACTTTCGTGAAGACCAGCTCAATGCACCGACGACCCGTCACAGCGTAGTCCAGATGGAGCCTGCGGGGAGAGGTGAGAAGGTGGAGACCTGGACCGAAAACCCTATACATACTAGCAAATATAATATAAAGCGTAATCCGTGGCTCGCCTCAGTTTGTTACCTCTCTCGTACTGACAGTAGAGGTTGAGCACGACTGTGCCACTGATTGGTGGCGTCATGGGCTGACGGATCATGTTCGGCGGGGTCATGGGCACGGGCGCGAACATCTCAATCACTCACGGGACAGAGAGGAAGAGAGAGGGAATCCTAGTTGCTGACACAGCAAGATATCTGCGGCGATGCCTGCAGATAGACCCAAGCGAGCCTGTTTGCCCTGCAAGGATACTGCAAACTGCATGGTGGTTTCAATCAATCCAATCAATTTCCTTGATCAACAACCCTGCAACCTTTTAAGCCCCCAATGTTGCGCAACATTGGGGGCTATCCCCCCAATGTTGCGCAACATTCCTTTAGGTTTCCCCTGAGCCCCCAATGTTGCGCAACATTGGGGGCTATCCCCCCAATGTTGCGCAACATTGTTTTATTACTTTTCAATGTTGCGCAACATTGTGCCCCTGCATCCTGAACCCCCCAATGTTGCGCAACATTGGGGGCTATCCCCCCAATGTTGCGCAACATTGTTCTCATTATTTCCCGATCCAAAGAAAAACCAAAGGATAAGCTATCATATCGCGGTCTAGGCACATTTTGATACTATGTGTCAATAGTATTTGCAATTTTTTCAACCTTGATTTGTATTTCCCGAACCTCAGCAAACCTCCGCTGCCTCTCGAAACCCAGCACGTACAGTGTCCCAGAGTGTCACTATAGGTACACAGACTATGGTTTCTATTGCTAGTATTTCACCCAGATAGAGCACAATAGATACAACCGCCAATATTCCAAAGGAGCCCCTATCTATCCTATACGACAATTAAACCCAACTTCCAATAGAGCACAATAGATACAACCGCCAATATTCCAAAGGAGCCCCTATCTATCCTATACGACAATTAAACCCAACTTCCAATACTAATTCCCAGTCTTCTCGTAACTGCCTTTTGCTGCTCAGCCATCCACGTATGGCGAGGAATCCAAACCAACGAAAAAAATCTGGGCTCCCTGGCGTCGAGGCTGCTGCATGCCTATCTAGATGATATCTATCTACCCCAACAACAAAGGATCCGCTGTTTCCAGTACATACACAACAAGGGCTTCTAGAGCTCTATCGGGTTATTGTGGGTGTGCTGCCAACAAAACAGAATTATCGCCCCACTGAAGCATCCCGCGAGCAGCCTCGGTTCGCCCTGTGCAGAGCCAATTTCCCCGTGGGCAGCATGCACACAAGCAACCGACCTATCATGCTCGCCCGAAAGCTAAATGCGCCCGAAAGCTGAATGTGTGCGTGTGCACATAAATACATGTACATGTGTGTTTGTGCGTGTGAGAACTCGCACACTACATGCTGCCTGCATGCTGCCTGCACGCACATTCCAGACTCCTTCCAGGGGGAGAGACATATTGGGGATCAGGTTGCCGGAAGCCAGCTTTGTTGTTCTCGAGTATATGATATGATGTCATGTAAGTTTTGTAGTATAGTTGTGGTAGCAGCAGCAAAAGCAGCAACGTACTATAGTGCTAAAGTATCGTCGTAGCAGTTGTCGTACGCCTATTGTAGTACGGTAGTACGACCAGTATATAGAGTATAGTACAGTATAGTAGTGGAGGTAGTAGCAGTATAGTAGTATATAGGTAGTAGCAGTACAGTAGTAGTATAGTATAACGATTACCATGATTCCGTTATAGTATATGAAAGTATATGTATACATGTATCTAGTACAAAGAAGTGCATCCTAAATCTACCCAAACCAAAAGGCACAATATACTGAGTAGAAGAAGTGTTCGTGTCCACAGTGCATCTGGCTATGCGGCTCCGTGCAACTCGATATCCTCAGGGGAAGGGCCTCCGAATTGCTAGCATTCTCCGCACGGCTTCTGCACTCCAGGGCTGCATGAACTTATAGGGTTTACGGTGTCTATAGGATTCAAGGTTTTGTGTTTAGGGGTTTTATACAGGATGTAGAAAAGTTCACTCCTCCCCTCACCTTTGCAACGCCCTATCGAGCACAGAAGCCATTGTGCTGAAGCCACGGACGGCATCTTGCAGTGCCGCCGTCTGGGCTTTGGAGTGCCGCCTCGACTGCTCCTTCTTACCGGCACGGACCCTCCCCTTCTCACGGCCGCCTCCGGGCCTCGGTTTGCACAGTTCATGTCCCAACCCCAGGTTATTACCTACGTTTGCGTCTACGTCTATATACTATATATATATACATATATATATATAGAGTATACACCGAGGGCACAACCTTATACGTGTTAATGCCTTATATATAACCGGGAGCAATACCTTCGGCCTTTGCAATGACTATAGTTATGAATGCTTTTGTGAAGAGTTCGGATAATATAGGAATGCAATGCACGTGCATCATGTAGATATGCATGAACGACTGCCATGAGGACACCTGTCTGTATAGATGTGCTCACGATATAGGCCATATATGTGTATATGTTTCTATGTATGTAACAATGTTGTGTATAATAAGCATGTCTATTTAATCCTGCATACATGTACTGTGTCCAAAAAGGTTCCTATCCAAGCGATCGTGTCAGGATGGCATGTAGTATGTATACCCGGAAACTTAAAGTTTGCAAACCATGCATGGGTAACCTGAAACCCCCTATATAACCCTATCGTCCCTGCAACATCCTGTCTTCGCAAACACCCTATACCGAGGCATGCCCATATGTACTTCGGGATCCACTATTTAAAACACAAGTCTTTGCAAAGCTATAGTGTGTGCAACCAATGAACGACCCATACTTAAACACATGCTGCCTGAAATTGTGAACGGTTGCACTTCCTCGGTCAATGTAAGCAACCCCAAGACATCTACAACACCAAAAACAGCATGGTTTGCGAAGCCCGAACACCGGCCAATCCGGATTTGAGCATATGCTGGTTCATGACGTGATCTGTTATGCTATATGGGGTGTGAATCTGTGGCATGAACTGGATAGCAGAAATGTGACTAAGTTAGCAAAGCAGACTGTCACCTGTGATATCTTGTGACATGATGTGTCATGATTGAGACATCATTGGCCGATACATGTGATATTGCATGATGATGTGACATGCATGGTATGTGATGCGATATGACATGTCCATGTGTTTAGGGTATCTAGGGTGTAGGGTTTTATGGTTAGTGTCGAGCGTCGGGTGGAAGACGCCGCTTTCATCCACCCACCCACCGCCGTTCGGGAGGTAGAAGCCGGGCTTCCGGGTGCTGCTCATGGATCTTGACCTGGGATGCATGCGTGTACCAATGTTGCGTGACTATACAGTTCCCCTGGGTGTTATACGCACGACACATATTGTAAGATTACTTCGTATGCATGAAACTAGAAACATATATATATATATGTATGCAACAGCTGGATGATTATTTGCTGAATATATACATATATTAATTAACCAAATGCATATATATCTACACATATATATATATATGTCACAACGTCCTGTGTATCTATGTAAGATATACTTGCACATGTCACTGTCTAAGAATACAAGGGATCTCTTGCATGGAAGGTCTATTGCCCATATATCCTTGTCTGGACTGCATGTTATATAGAATATATCACTTGTATATATGCATATATATATGTACATATACAGATGTACATATGCATGTTCATGGTGTGTTTTATGGAGAATATACAAACCACAACTGAGACCAGCGACCCTGCACGCGTGGACACGTCGTCCTCATCCTCCTCCCACTTGCTGTGCCACGGCTCCTGCTTGGTCTGCCAGGGCTCCTTCTTGCACCGCTTGTCCGAGCCCACCTGCCATTTCGCATCGCCAGCCCGCTTGTAGCGGACCGTGCCCGTCCACTCCTCCTTGCCGGGCTGCTCCCATGCACCCTTGCCATAGCCATGGTTGTCCTGCGGATGGGGTTTATAGGGTTTTGGATGTGCATATATGTCCTTATATGCATGTATACTGTGTATAAGAACCCCTGGTCTATCGTAAACCCCATGTCTCCCATGACTTCCTCCTCCTTCTTCATCCACCATGGATGCCAGTACTTCTGGTCGTAGGTGCTCTCGTCCTTTACCTGAGTTTATGGCTTATGGGTTTACGTATGTGGGCTCATGTGCAAATGTATATATGTACATACAATCTACATCTATGACGGGGATTATAGTGGGGCTTGCTCGTATCGAATCATGTGTAGCTGTCACTACATAACCATGCAGACAACATGTGTATAGTACGAACACACACACACACACACACATATATATATATATGTTATATGTCTGGGCATCTGTATATATATATATATATTATGAAAGTCTATATAGAGTTCTGTACCTCGACTGTATAACCCCATAGGTATATATGTATATGTATATATATATATATATATACCTACATATATGTGTGTGTGTGTCTATACACACCGTGGAATGTTAAGTTAAGAGGGGCCTGAAACATCGGGTTTTGTGTGCATGTATCTATATACATATATATATGTATATATGCATGTATATATACATATATATATCTACATATATATATATATATATACTTGTATTTATTTTTGTACTCATATATAAATATATATATATCTACATGAAAACGTGTGTGTGTCTGGGTGCATCCTCTTTTAAAGAGCTTCTGTAGTTTCTTTGGGCATATATACACACAGATCATGATTTAATCCGGTTTTGGGGTGTTACATACGGGCTTAAACTGTTGTGAACTTGCTGCACCATGCAGCCTCCTCCTTGGACTGCCACTCGTGCCAGTCTCCATCCGTCCACCAACTGTCGTCGGTCCACCAGCTTGCGGCATCCTGCATGCGGGCATTGAAAAGCTTTACGGAGTTTGGGGGGTTATATGGGGGGTTTATAAAGGAAAACTGTTCACCAAACCGGTCCTGCTCGTCTCCTTCATGCCCTTCGGCTTCATCCCAATCGAATGCATCCCCCCCCAGGTCGGTCACGTTCTCCAGCCCATGCGATGGGCCAGCAGGCTCCACTTCCACCTCCTCCATGCCGTCCTCCATCTTGCATGGCACGGAGTCACTCATGCCGACCGTCGCGGCTTTGCTGTCAAAGCAGACTCTGCAATGTCAAACTGCCATGCATTTAGCGATCCTATGTATACATGCCGTCACTTTCAGATCTGCTGCTGCCTGCATGTCCTGCGCATGACTGCATGTCTGCTTGCAAGCTCTTCATGCAAGGAAGAAGCGGCGAGTCGGCCAGCACATTGATGCAGAAGCATGCAATCACCAAGTCAATGTCAACCACTCTTGCATGTTCCTGCTGCACAAACTGCATGGCAAGCTTTGCTGACGAAGCATGACACATGCAACACAGGCAGGAACCAATGCAAAGGTGAAAGTAAGCAACAAATGAAGCTTTCAGACAACCACAGCTGGTTCATTGTGGACTCGAAATTAACGGAATCTATACAGATGTAGCCGTTTTTAATTTGGGCACCCTCCCCTTGCACCAAGGAGAGGAGAAAGTATTCTCGTACATGGGAATATACGTATGTATATATGCATCCATGAAAGAGTATATCAGTCAATGCATAACGAACAGATGTAAACATCAATGTCAATGAATGTCTGCACACTTCAACACCTATATAGATATGTACATATACACACACAACAAAAGCGGACCAGAGTACGGATATGGTTATTGATGGATTTTATCATCCTAAATATTTACATGACAATGCTTGACGTATACATACATACACACATACATACATACATACATACATGAAAAAATACATATACATACAGATATGTGTGTATATATATATGTACATGTGTGTGTATGTGTGTATACATATATATATAGAGAGAGAGAGAGAGAGAGAGAGAGAGAGAGAGAGAGAGAGAGCCTGTGTACTTGTCATGTAAATACGTATGTATATGTATATATATATGTATATAAACACAGAGACAAAGACACACATGACACAAAGAACGAACGAAATCGATGAGACTGCCTGTCGCATGAAAATGCACCACCATATCCCTGGCCATATTTGTGCTCCGCAGGCGCAAAACTGAAGATCTGCATGCTCTACACATGTCACGGGCGAGAATACATCCCTGCCCGTGGTCAGGCGAGCCCACATGCTCTGCCCGACTGGGAAATCAGAAATCTAGAAGAAATCGCCTAGGATCGAAGAAGTGCCTCAAAAGAGTCGTCGTCTTCCTGTGCATCGGAGTCCCGGGGAGACGACGGGGCCGGGGGCGGGGCTTCGTTCTGGATTGCCTCCGGATCTTCTTCTGCTTCTTCTTCTTCTTCGACATGTGCTGCCTTGCGCTTGCGGCTTCGGCGATTCTTTTTTTTGGGCGAAGGTTTGACCACCACGTCGTCCACATCCCCCCGAAGCTTCTTCCGACGACGAGATTGTTCGTTCTTCTCGATATGCGCTGCCAAGCCCTGTCGCATGAACAGGGCTATGTAGTCGAGGTTTTGCGGTGCTAGTTCAATCCACAGCACGGGATCCTTCACGGACCATAATGCCGAAATGATCTGAGCAGGCATCTCCTCCTCCGCACGGTTGATTGCCGGACATCTCATGTCCACGATGCGTCCAGCGAGGTACAAGTCCTCCTCTCTGGCATTCCTGTGCCGCGGTTCGGCGTCTCCCGCGATCGCTGCAGCATCGCGAAGGTGCTTGTTGTAGAGCTCGTCGCAGGCGCTCTGCCGCAAGTCCAAGAGGTCTTGATACGCTGGAATGGAGAGATGGTGAGGATCCTGCTTTTGCATTATATCGAAAATAAAAAAAATATATACTAATATATAATAATAATACATATTAATATATAATATAATATATATTATAATATTATATTATATTATATTATATGTAATATGTATATGTATGTGAAACCTTATTTAGATAACTCTGGAACCCGGTATTAATTATATATATATACACCCGATATATATCTCTTCATCACAGCTATGTTGAAACAATTATATTCTATTTCGGTCCTTCTCCTTCCTGAGCTCAAGGGGATGGCCGGTCACGAATTGTATGAAGTGACGGTCCCATTTATCAATGAGCACGAACAGCCTGTCTTCAACCACTTTCGTTTTCACAAGCCACGTCGACTTCTTTTTTAACTTTCCACCCGTGATCGACCACACCTGGTCCACCCGGCACGGCTTGGCCATGGGCGCCACGTGTATCTGTAGAGATGAGCACGAAGATCGGCTGTTGATTCGCAGTCTGCGAGCCTCGAGCCCTGCAGCCGCCAACAACACAAGTCCAAAATGAGTGCTGCCCGCAATCGTGCAACAACTCTGCATGCAATCGGCATGCTTCTGCATCTGCACAAGCACTCTTTTTCCCAACACCTGTTTCATGCTCTTGTGTCGCTGAACATGTCACGGGCGAGAATACATCCCTGCCCGTGGTCAGGCGAGCCCACATGCTCTGCCCGACTAGAAAATCAGAAATCCAACTGCTCGCTGCAGAATCTTGAACATCTTCTGATTTCTCTACTTGCACACATTGTCCGTGTCTCTATATAAGAAACAAGCATATACATAAACTTGTTTATTTATATAGTTATCTATTGATATATATATATATATATACAGATCACCAATACGCATGTGGCAAGCTTGAGTTTGTTTGCACTCAAACAGTGCGGTGTTTCTTGGTCGCTGGAACCAAAGGCTCAGGCTTGCGAGTTGCTGAAGGCCTGAACAGCACCAGGCTGTCTCCCGCGTTGATCACCTTTGTGTTCCTGGCAAACGGAATTTGCCATGTGGCATCCGCCGTCATCTTGAGTTTCCTGGTGGAGTGATTCCGCGGCATAAGTTCTAGATTACACTCCGCCTGATGGGCGGACGTTCTCATCACCCAGAAGGGGTGAAGCACTTGATTAGGCGATTGAGCTACGCTACTGGTCAGGCACACTTCGTACGTGCACCCTTTGATGTCCACGAGGCCTGCAACGATGGCTCCGGCACTTGCGGACCCAGGCTTTTTGAAATCGATGCGATGTGTGCTGGGGACCAGAACCAGCTCAGACTTCTCAAACCTTTTTCCTGCCTTTACATTGCCTGGTTTGAGGAAAAGCTGCAGGTTGCCGTAGTGGGCCGACCCTGAAGCCTCGTCTGCACGGATCTGCTGGAGAATCCTCGCCTTGGCCTCTGCCAGCAAGAACTCCGAAGAGTTCACCGGGAGCGATGCTTCGAAGGCGACAGGAACAGCCTCCTCCTTGGATGCGTAAGGTCGCCACTCGCCTGCTAAAAAGCTCTCGGACGCGACCGTCACAATCTCGCCTTCCACCTGCAGCGACACCTCGGAAGCGGTCATGGCTTCGATCTTCCCCGTCGAGGAATCACTCTTCCTCAACACGGTCTGGCCGACCTCATAACCCGCAGCTCGAAGGCGGATGTCGTCTTTGTTTCTGCCTTGATCGTCAAGCTCATGCCTCAGCAGAAAAAGTATATATAAGTATACACAAATAATGCAAACGTAGATATATCTATAGGAAAATCCAAATAAGCCTGCATATATAGCTAAATTAGATATATACATTGCTATATGTGGATGCACACATAGGTCAAACATGCAAACCTTATACAAACATAAACATAACATATGTACGTTTCCCAGACATATATCTCCTTATTTGCTTTTCTTTGCTTATTTACTCGCACGTCGATTCTTTCATGGAATTTTTGGTTCATTTCTTTTGTTATATACATATATATATATATATATATTTGATTTATGTGTACATACATATACTGGAGAGAGAAACTGAATATAATCTGTATAGATCTAAAACAATAAATAGAAAGAGAATCCCCACACCCAAAACCCTAAACCCTAAAATGCAGCCTGCCAAAACATAACGGACACGAACACATGTGTGCATGCATGCGTGCAAGCTGCAGCAGGCCTGCCTCCTCTTTGGCCGCCTTAGGCGAAGACTTCGAAGACGAACTTGCAGAGGGTTTGCTTGCGAAGGGGTTCGGGAACGCCAGGTTTGCTGCCTCTTGGATTTCCTTCACGAACTGTTCCGCAGCTTGCTGCAGGCTTGCGTGCTTTTTGAACTTTTTTTTCTCTAGCAAAACTGCTACCATGTTCACTTGGAGATAGCCCACCGCCTTCAGCGCAATTGCCGGCTGGACGGTATGCTGAACACACAGGGCCTTGCATGCCTCGAGCAATCTGGTCGCTTCCTCTCGCTTGCCAGCCATCCCGGCGGAGAACGTTTTCTTCACATCGGACACGGAAAGGGCCCGGCCATCCTCCACACCATAAGCGAAGTGCAACAACATGTGGCGAACTTGCGCCCCAGGGTCATTCACCTTCACCTCGGTGTTGAGTGCCTCAAAAATTTCCGGTCCAAGCATCCGGCTGTTGAAGCCGTGTGCTCGCACAAATTTTTCCGTTTCTTGTAGGAGGTGAGCATGCTGGCCGCCGGAGTAACGAAGAGTAAACACAAACAAGGCAGGAACGGTCCCGGCACTCCTGGGTTTGGAACGGAGAACTGCGTCTTTCACGTCCACGTAATTGACGGTGCTTTTCCCCAGGCCCATGTGCCGTGCCACTTCCCCGTGAATCTTCCGACACAACTGAAGTTCTGACTCTTCTCTCGCTACGTGCCCGCTAGCATTGGCAGCTGATTGGGCGAGCTGACAAAAGCTCGGAAAACGTTGTGGTACTACCTTCGATACGATGCGCCATACAGCTCCTTCTGTGCATGCGGCGTGGAAGTCGGGATCCGTTCTTTGGAGGCTCTCCAGGCTCAGTCGCCCTCCCTCCGTAGCCTTACCAGCATCGCTGGGAACTTTGTGCAGGAAGCACCGCAACACCTGATTAGTGTGTGATCCTGCCAGTGTGGCAAACTTGAGGTGGGTTTCGGACGGAAAGCCGGGAACTCGTCCCTCCGAGTTCTCCGCCAACTCTTGGTTCCAGCGAAACACATCGGAGCGTTCGGAATCTGAGACTTCCACGCAGAGCCCTCGAAACTCCGAGGTGCTCCACCCTAGACCGACGAGGTCAGCAAGGAGTTCATGCACGTGCTTTGCGGAAACTCCGCAGCCATCACGATTGCTAGGATGCACCCCGATAAAGCTGGAGTGCACCTTCTGATGGTAGAGCAACCCCGCTTCCATCAGCATGCTGTAGCATCTCTCCATGCTACGGACAAGGGCCCCGCCAGTGGCAGCTGCCAGCACCTTTTCGATCTTGTCGGCCAGTTCCGGTGTCAAAGCCATGATAACCGAAGAGGGCACTGCCGCGGTGAGATATCAAAACCACTTCAAAGCCAAGCTTCGCGAGCACATGCATGTACATGCACCCTGCGAAGCATCGCTGCGAGACATGCATGCCCCTGCAGCGCTCCATGTCCGCATGCAAAGCTCTGCACGGACACGCAATGCAAATGCACTTTTTTGCAGACTGAGTCGATCCTTCAATCAATGCTCTTCGCTAGAAATTGTTTTGGAGGCCCCAATCAACCAAGGAGCACGGGCAAAATGCACCTATACATATGTCAAGCATCCTTCTGACATATTATATGTATATATCCATAACAATACCACATTTTGTGTGCCTCTGCATACAAAATTCATCTATGAATGTCTCGGAACCGTTGGGTATCCTCTCTCACATGTCTGTCATATATGTATATGTTTATGTATATGTATATGTGTGTATGTATGTGTATGTGTATGTGTATATGTGTATATGTGCAAATGTATATGTACATGCCTACATGTACATGCAGGTACAGGTATATATGTGTATGTTTATATGTAGATATATATGTGTGTGTTGGCATACATGTTTATGTACGGGCAAGACAGTCATTGCATCACCTGGTTGACGTTGAATGCCCCACACACAATGCAGCTTTAGTAGCTACATGGGAAAAACAAATTTCGCAACATAACTTTGGACGCCGTGGTTTTCTTTACCAGTCGTCTGCGGGGCTTCGTACCCGTTGAAACTCTTGGGCCCCAAATGAAGCCAATCTCACGCACATTCATACACTCACCGGTCGCAGAACTCAGCAAATGCAACTGCTGTTGACAAGTCATCGTGCCCTGGTCAATAAAACGCCGTTTCAGCCTCATTGCGAGAATGTGCATCGACACGTTGTGCTTGTCACTCAAGGTCTCCTCCATGACGGGACGCCCTGTGATGCAGGAGCGCAATTGAAACCTCCATGCAGGACATTTGGAACACATCAAGCACGTAAATACATTTATCCATGTTTTATATAAACGAAAGGATATATGTAAGAATCTCAACCATGCACGGGTTGGGAACTGCCTGATATGTCGACTTGATGTGTCTTTCACAGCAAAAACATAAGCCCAATTCGTATATAAAGGATATACAACCAAATACATATGTTAATAGTATATGTTTACACATATACATACATATATATATATATACATATATACTCATGTCTATACATATATATATATATATATATATATATGAATATGTATATATGTATATGTGTGTATGTACATACATATACATACATACATACATACATAAACACATACATACATACATACATACGTTTATACATGCGCGAGTGCATACCTGTGCATAGAAAAAATGCATGAAGTATACATATATATATATATATACACAATGTATATAACTTGCATGCAAATCTCAGGCGCCTCAAGGATCCTTGGTTCGGCATGTGGTCGGCGTACATGCTGACCACTATGCCTGGGCGGACTGGACGGACCAAAGCTCCTACGATGCCGTCGCCGTCCCAGTCGCAAGTGTACCGCCACAGACAGCCATCATATTCTTCAACCCTTCGGAATCTTCGGGGCCACGTCTCTAAAGGTGTCAATGTCTGGCCCGAATGAAGCCGATTCTGGTCGTCTTTCGAGAGCGAAATCCATCTGGTCGAAGGGGGAAGGGTGCCGATGTTAAATCCCCGATAAAGAAAAACGATCTCCAATTCGGGAAGCTCGTCCGCCATCCTTCAATCTTCTCACGGCCGTGCTACAAACTGCTGCGAACGAACTTGGTCCTGCAGCAAACAGCAGCGGACATGCATGCGTGTATAGTCCTGCTGCTGTATACATGATTGCCTCAGAAACATCACTTTTCAATTCATCACTGTACCATTTCCCGACGTGCAGGCCGCTACATCACGAATTTTTTTTCCGACAAATGCTCACCGCTCATGTGGCTATGTGGGAAACGAACAACGATGACACACACGTTTTGTGGCGCAGCGAACGTCCTCCTGCTGCAGCCCGGCAGCGAACATGTGTTTGGAAAGTTCTGCTGCCGACTGCATGCAATGAGCAGGCAATGTGTTTGTACATCTTTGTGTCCTCACATACCACAGTTCCCCCCTAATCCCTAACCCCGAACCCCTAAACCCCTAAACCCTAAACCCCTATACCCAAACCCCTAAACCCCTCCTCTCCAAAACCCTTTTCGACCCTTCACCCCTATATCGCCTTCAATCCCCAAACCCCTAAACCCCTAAACCCCTAAACCCTAAACCCCTAAACCCTAAACCCTCAAGCCTTCAATCCCCAAACCCCTAGACCCCTTAACCTAGACCCCTGAAAACTTCAATCCCCAAACCCTTAAACCCCTAAACTCCTTTAAAACCTGCAATCGCAAAACCCCTAAACCCTATAAACCCCTATAATAACCAACCTATATATGCCAACCCAACTAACCGTATGAAGTCAAGCCATTATGCACACGAGCAAACCAAATCCATCAACCTCTCAATTTGACCTTGATCCCATAGAAAACCCTCCGTCCTATTGTAGGTATATGCCTCTTATAATTTATGGAAACCCCTCGATACCTCTACATCTACATGCATCAACTTAGACAACAAACTCACATGATGCAAGTTTCAGTCTCTTGCAATGACATGTATGAAAAAGAGTACACATACAGTGCTCTATATATATATATTTTTGCAATATCATCTATAATATTGACATTTATATGATACACCTTCTATATACTATATATATTTACGGCATTTAACAAAGTCGAAGTAAAGTCAACCCAAGCCCGTGCCCTTGGCTATATATAGCTCTATAAGTATATATATATATATATATATATATATATATATTTATATGAATATTTACATTTATAGAGCTATATACAAGGGAGTCACAGTATACTCCCGCCATTGGGCAGAAAACCGATAATGCTCACACCCTATAAACCCCCAAAACGAAAACCAAACAAAAATATTCAGAAAACAAACAGATGACGAAGTTAAAACCTTGAGCCCGCCCCCCACCCTCGCCTAAACCCAACGGCCCCCCTGCCTTCAGCAGGGGCTCGTAGACGCGGTGGCCGCGGCAAGACATGGGAATGGGTTTAATCTTACAAACCCTATACCCTATAGGGTATAGGGTTTGTAAGATGGTGTTTGTACGGTTTTGTTGTTTTGGTTATCTATATATATATATATATGTACATACATTTATCATACGGTTTTTTTGGGTTTCCGGACCTGTGCATACTACTTATACTTTGATGTTGCTTTTGAAGCTTTCGGTGTAGATATGGGTCTGGCCAGGTTTATATATGCAACGTATATATATCTTCCTACGTATATGATAAGTATATCCTCTTATTATACCTTACGCAAAGGTGCCAAGATGCAGACTCGATTCGTGTCTTTTGATATCGTCCATACGAAGTTACGATATTGGAATGTAATAGTTCGCTATGTTATACAAAACATGTGAAACAACGTACAAACACATATGTGTGCATGCGGGTGGCGACGTATGCTCACATGCTCTGTCATATATACACGTACGCGTATATATGTATATGTGTGTACAAAGGTATATATGTATATACATGTATAAACATACATATATAAAATTTTACCGTGGGTCTATGTTACATTCTTACGCAGCAATCTTTATGCATTTCATTCAGCTTAAGAAAACATTCCAAAAGCACAAAGATATACATTGGATTTTTGATGAAATATACAATATTTTCATACGGTTTAAGGCATGGTCCGTGGGACCCCCTAACCCACTTAGCCCACTTAGCCCGGAACCCAGTTAATCCACTTACGCAGCGACGGTTCTAACCCACTAAACGCACTTAGCCCTAAGTCTGTTTTTCCATTTAACATACTTAGCTATACCCCCATGTTTGCACTTATAAGTAAACACGTAAGTACATATAGCTGTGCCATGAACTACATGATAAGTGGAATAATAACTTATGGTTTTAGCTAAGTGCTTACCCTCAGCCGTAACCACATACTATGTCCGTCCCTGCATATATCTGACATGCATCACATACAACCATAGTTGCCGGAATTATAAGTGAAGTTATCCCGTTTATAACCAGACTTATAACTACTTTGCAAATACGATAAACGTGCTATTCAAATATAACCCCGACGATCCTCCAAGTAGGTCCGGAGCTGCGGGCAGGGAGGCCACCTGGCCCTGCAGCGCTGCGATGGCTGCGGCGTTGACTCCGATGGCCGCGGTGTTTGCCGTGTGCTCCGTCTGTGGGGTGTAGGCTGTGAGCACCGTCGCCAGCTGCCCAGCACTGATCCCTTGCAATTCAATGACCGGCGGCTCCGTGACGCCATCCTCGAGGATCCTTCCAGTGAGGGTGGAGGGAAAGAGTGACATTTTATCTAGTGCCCCCGGGCTCTGTGCCGGCGGTCCAGGCTGGCGGCGTGTTCTAAGGTGCTCGAAGAGGGCAAAAAAGGTGAAACAAATCGCTCAAAACGCCCATATCATCAATCGAGGACACTCACGCCGCTACCGCTCAGCGTACAGATTTGCATGGATACGAGCCCTATGAAGCACTGATCGACGCGGTCCGCGAGCATTTGCTTGAAGGTGAAGCGGCACAAATCGCCGCTCCTCGTCGACAAACCGCTGGTGGGGTGCTTGGGTACCCGCTCCGTGGGGAACGCGGCAATGAAGTACGTGTTATCATAGTTCGGGAGGCGCATATTTCGTAGCTTTGAATCGTAGGTGCCGGCCATGATGGCGAGGAAGTGGTGGTATTCGGCGATGCTTTTGACACTGTTTCTGGGGAATTGCATGGCCCCGAGCTGCAGCTGGCCCTCCATGACCGTGGCCGCCGAGACGTTCGGGAAGGCCTCCCCTGGATATTCGAAGTTGGAAACGTGGTTCTCCCCGGTCTTGTTGAAGTGCACGAAGGCTCCCAAAAGCTTGGTAAAGGCTCGCGCGACGGTGATATT